GGAGCCGCCCAGAGTGGCTGGGGAAACACAGCCAGATGGGAGGGGTAGAAATAAATTATTATTATTATTATTATTATTATTATTATTATTATTAATATATCTGAATGATGGGGGGGAGGGAGACGCTCCTTCAGGTATATTTTTCCAGGCTAAACATACCCAGTCCTCCTAAGGCTTGGTTTACAGACCCTTGATCATCTTAGGTCTGTAAAGATTAAAGATTTTCTTGGGTTACACAAGTATATGCATTGTCTCTATTTTCAGATCATAAAGTCCTTTCTACGGATCAGTTATCTTCAGTGGAAACCCCATCATTTGCCAAGCCCCATCCAGCCAAGCAGAAACCTCCATCTATTTACCGTGACTTCACTTTCGTTGAAAAGTATTCATAAAGCAACTTCCTCATTCCCTCCAAGGTGAAGACCGTAATAAAATGCCCACAAAGACATTAACTGATATGAAACAAAAAGGTGGCCTCAGGTAATCCCTGCCATGGCCTTCCTTGTTGACTTAATCTCAACGATTTAAGAGAAAACCCCAGTCACCAATGCCCAGCACCAGGGGAAGAACAGGGCGTCTGATTAGGCAACAAAGCAGCTTGTTTTTCTGATATAAAAGTGGAATTTTTTTGGGTGGGGAAGTCATTGTGATAATGTGTATGGACTTGGGAAATGATGGCTTGGGAGAAAGCCCACCAGGGGCTGAAAAATTGCACTCCTGCTGCCAGAGATTTTGTAGTAACTGTGTTCACGTGCCTTCAAGCACCTCTGGCGAGAAGAATGTGTTCCTGGGGCTGGAACGATTTTGACTGCATTGCAGAGCCCAGCCCATGAAATGATGGATGAGGGGTTTGGAAAGGCCAAACATGCTCTGGGAACGTTCCAGAAAATAAACACCGGCTAGCGGGGAAAGGTCTCATCTCCACGTTTACATGTGAAATATGCGGAAGATTGGGATTTATGCAAATCTGGTTGAAGGATAGGGTACCTTCCCACCAAACCCTTGAGAGAATTGCAAGTTCCTAAAGGTGACTCTGAGAGCCATGTAGGAATTCTGTATCATTTTGCATTTTTGTGATCTAAACCACAGAGCCTGGGGCTTGCCGATCAGAAGGTCGGCAGTTCGAATCCCTGCGACGGGGTGAGCTCCCGTTGCTCGGTCCCTGCTCCTGCCAACCTAGCAGTTCGAAAGCACGTCAAAGTGCAAGTAGATAAACAGGTACTGCTCCGGCGGGAAGGTAAACGGCGTTTCCGTGCGCTGCTCTGGTTTTGAAAGAAGTGGCTTAGTCACCCTGTCTGCGGACAAAATGCCTGCTCCCTCGGCTAGTAAAGCGAGATGAGCACCACAACCCCAGAGTCGTCTGCGACTGGACCTAACGGTCAGGGGTCCCTTTACCTTTATCCTTTACATTTGAAGGATGCGGGTGGCACTGTGGGTTAAACCACAGAGCCTAGGACTTGCCGATCATAAGGTCATTGGTTCGAATCCCCGCGACGGGGTGAGCTCCCGTTGCTCGGTCCCTGCTCCTGCCAACCTAGCAGTTCGAAAGCACGTCAAAGTGCAAGTAGATAAATAGGTACCACTCCGGCGGGAAGGTAAATGGTGTTTCCGTGCGCTGCTCTGGTTCGCCAGAAGTGGCTTAGTCATGCTGGCCACATGACCTGGAAGATGTACGCCGGCTCCCTCGGCCAGTAAAGCGAGATGAGAGCCGCAACCCCAGAGTCGTCTGTGACTGGACCTAACGGTCAGGGGTCCCTTTACCTTTATCCTTTACATTTGTACAGTGGTACCTCGGTTTACGAACAGTCCTTTTTACGACGTATTCGGTTTACAAACTCCGCAAAACCAGAAGTAGTGTTCCAGTTTGCGAACTTTACCTTGGTCTATGAACGGAAGCTGAACGGTGGAAGGGCACCGGCGGTGGGAGGCCTCATTAGACTCGCTGATGGGGTCCAAAGGAAAGCAGAGCAAGGTGCTGGGCACCAGCTTGTTAAGATTTTTGTGTGTGTTACTCGGAAGACACACAGGGCACTTCTAGGCTGCCATAGTTTGGGGCTGAGATTCGGTCACATATTGGCAAATTCAGGGTGCACAGTTAAAGCTGGTTGGGACGGAGGCCTTGTGCAAGAAACTCACTTCCCCAAAAGAAGTGAGTTTCTTTGCAATAAGGAAAGTTACTGGAAAATGTGCTGTGGGGTCAACACTTGCTTTGATGCAACAGAATCTGACTTCCCCACAGACAAATCAGAATGGCCACTCATTGAATAGCTACAGATAGATCAAGTGGACTGCTCTGTAGGGTTACCCCAAAGCACCCACTTTTGGGTAGGCAATATTATTTTTATTTTGGGGGCTGCCGCAGGTGCCAAAATATATTGGCTGGCCCTGAATATGGGCATTATCCACATTCAGAGCCCTGGTGCCTCTGAATGTCTGTGTTGTCGTTTAGTCGTTTAGTCGTGTCCGACTCTTCGTGACCCCCTGGACCAGCGCACGCCAGGCACTCCTGTCTTCCACTGCCTCCCGCAGTTTGGTCAAACTCATGCTGGTAGCTTCGAGAACACTGTCCAACCATCTCGTCCTCTGTCGTCCCCTTCTCCTTCTGCCCTCCCTCTTTCCCAACATCAGGGTCTTTTCCAGGGAGTCTTCTCTTCTCATGAGGTGGCCAAAGTATTGGAGCCTCAGCTTCAGGATCTGTCCTTCCAGTGAGCACTCAGGGCTGATTTCCTTCAGAATAGAGAGGTTTGATCTTCTTGCAGTCCATGGGACTCTCAAGAGTCTCCTCCAGCACCAGAATTCAAAAGCATCAATTCTTCGGCGATCAGCCTTCTTTATGGTCCGAATGTCTATTGCTGGGGGAAAACAGGAGGGGATACTGCCATTGCATACACTCCAACATTTCTCCAATTGGGATGTCCTATTCCATGGTTAGGCAAACTAAAGCCCGGGGGCCGGATCCGGCCCAATCGCCTTCTTAATCCGGCCTGCGGACGGTCCGGGAATCAGCTTGTTTTTGTTAGAGGGGGATTTTCCACTGGTGGCAGATGACAGAGACTATGACACCATGAGACCAGTGTAAAACCAAATTAAATAAAGGTTTTATTTCAAAACAACAAACAGCAAAGCTTGTGGGTGTTTTTCCTGCAGGCAGAGTTCAAACTGCAGCTTTTCTCTTGTGTAGTCATGGCCAGCTGTACCCAATCAGCCCAGAGCTCACAGAAACTGTTCTTAAAGGTACAGTGGTACCTTGGGTTACATACGCTTCAGGTTACATACACTTCACTAACCTAGAAATATTGCTTCAGGTTAAGAACTTTGCTTCAGGATGAGAACAGAAATCGTGCTCTAGTGGCGCGGCAGCAGCAGGAGGCCCCCTTAGCTAAAGTGGTGCTTCAGGTTAAGAACAGTTTCAGGTTAAGAACGGACCTCCGAAACGAATTAAGTACGTAACCTGAGGTACCACTGTACAAACATCCCTACTATTTCTCTGCAGAATGATTCCCAACAGTTTTTACATGAGTAGAATGTGTGCTTTTGTTTAAAATGCATCTCTGGGTTATGTGTGGGGCATAGGAATTCATTCATTTTTTTTCTTCGAAATATAGTCCGACCCCCCACCAGGTCTGAGGGACAGTGGACTGGCCCCCTGCCGAAAAAGTCTGCGGACCCCTGTAACCTACTCCATAATAATAATAATTTTATTATTTATAGCCCGGCCATCTCACTGGGTTGCCCCGGCCACTCTGGGCAGCTTCTAACATGTATAAAAACATAATAAAACATTTAAAGGGCTGCCTTCAGGTGTCTTCTAAAGGTTGTCTAGTTATTTATCTCCTTGGCTCGGGGGGGTCACATAACTCCATACATTCCAACATTTCTCCGATGGAAATAGGGATGTCCTAAGGAAAAGCAGAACATTCCGAGGTGAAATCAGAAACTGGGATGGCTTCTGTAAATCCAGGACTGTCCCTGGAAAATAGGGGCACTTGGAGGGTCTGATTTTGTGCTCAGCTCCTGATTATAATAATAATTTATTATTTATACCCCACCCATCGGGATGGGTTTCCCCAGCCACTCTGAGCGGCTTCCAACAAAGTATTAAAATACAGTAGTCTGTTAAACATTAAAAGCTTCCCTAAAGAGGGCTGTCTTTAGATGTCTTCTAAAAGTTTGGTAGTTGTTGTTCTCTTTGACATCTGATGGGAGGGCGTTCCACAGGGCGGGTGCCAGCACCGAGAAGGCCCTCTGCCTGGTTCCCTGTAACTTGGCTTCTCGCAGCAAGGGAACCGCCAGAAGGCCCTCGGAGCTGGACCTCAATGTCCGGGCAGAACGATGGGGGTGGAGACGCTCCTTCAGGTCTACTGGGCCGAGGCCATTTAGGGCTTGAAAGGTCAGCACCAACACTTTGAATTTTGCTCGGAAATGTACTGGGAGCCAATGTAGGTCTTTCAAGACTGGTGTTATGTGGTCCTGGTGGCCGCTCCCAGTCACCAGTCTAGCTGCCGCATTCTGGATTAGTTGCAGTTTCCAGGTCACCTTCAAAGGTAGCCCCACACAGAGCGCATTGCAGTAGTCCAAATGGGAGATAACCAGAGCATGCACCACTCTGGCGAGACAGTCTGCAGGCAGGGAGGGTCTCAGCTTGTGTACCAGATGGAGCTGGTAAACAGCTGCCCTGGACACAGAATTGACTGGATTCAGAAGGTTCTTACATTCCTAGCATCTGCCACATAGCTTGCCCACAAGTGCCTATTAGTTCGCAAAGATGAGGCGTGCAGGGATTTTTCCAGTTACAGGTTAACTTCGAAAGAGCTGTTCAAATGAGAAAAGGCGCAACCTGTATTTAAAAAAGCCCCTTCCTTGTATGAAATGTACTTCCTCATGTACTTCTCAGGCCAAGCCCAGTTCCCAGACTGAACATTAAAGGACACCTTCCCCCTCCCTCCCACCCACAAAATATTTTTCCATGTTGCTTAAGTTTGGGCGCCGGAATTTCTCATGAGCACATAGGAACTGAGTCACTGGTTTGCGGGGGAAACCCCAGGCCACTGACCAATCAGCACCCGATCCATGCAATTGACCGCACATAAAAAGGGAGACTCCTGGACCCAACAGGCAACGCCAGCTCCCAAAAGCCACCGGCAGAAGGGATAGATCGGAGGCTATGAAGATGGAGAGCTCTTTCTGGGGAGTCCTGCTCTTGGTTGGGGCAGCTGCCGCAACCACCGTCTTGCCTCCTGCGAAGGAACCGTTGAGCTACGAGGATGCTGCGGCGCTCGCTGTCGACCTGTACAACCAAAAAGCAGATGAAGAATTCACCTATCGGCTTCTGAAAGCCGCCCCTCAGCCAAACTGGGTAAGACCACCTGCGATTTCTGCAATCTGGTGTCCCGGAGGACATGTTTCGGGCTGCAGCTGTGCTTTCCAGGACCAAAACATCTGGGGGCACCATGTTGGGGATGGTTGGCATGCGCCGTCAATGTGCATGGCACGTTCTGGGGTTTTATAAACCAGAAGGCAGGTTTGAGATGCTGTGGACGCACTATATCTTTAAAGTACATTGACTTCCCACCAAAGCATTCTGGGAACAGTGGTTTGTTAAGGGTGCTGGGCGTTGTCACTCTGGGAGAAGTAAGCTACAGTTCCCAGGATTCTATGTGGGGAGGTCATGTGTTTTGACTGCATGGTGTATATTTAGCCTAAGGCCACCTGTGCATCTGTTTCCACCCTCCCTCTGGGAGGAAGGAAGGAAGGAAGGAAGGAAGGAAGGAAGGAAGGAAGGAAGGAAGCTGCTCAATGTATCTGACTCCCATATTCTGGTACTGCATCCCGCACAGAAACCCAAAAGAAAAGGATGCACTTTCCAGGTGAAAATATAGGCCTTTATTGAAAGACAAATGCCTAGGGATAGTCTCAGAAATAAGGAGAAGGCTGCAAAGAACAAACATGCGAAGCAATGTTTTTTATACACTTCCAGATTACAGCGGAACCTTGGTTTTTGAGCGTCTCAGAAGCCGAATAATTCGGAACCCAAACGCCAAAAACCTGGAAAAAACCTGCTTCTGTTTTCGAACCTGCCTCAAAAGTCTAATGGCTTCCAAGGCTCATTTTTCATTTCCCCCCCACTGATATTGCAGACAGACCATTGATCCTCGGTTTTCGAACGTTTCAGAAGTAGAAGGGTCTTCCAGAACGGATTACGTTCGAAATCTAAGGTTCCACTGCATACATTTCTATTCACCAATCGAAGGATCACTGCAATCTTAGCGGTTGCGACCCAATGTCATTATCCTGAACTAATCAGAATCACTTAACTCTTCAGATCAGCCCTTATCATAATATCATGTGATTACTGTTATAAGAAAAAACGGTTCCTTTTCCCTTATGGGGTACCCAAGAGACCGTATAGAGTCCTTATCTAGGTTCTCCATTGGTAGGAGAAAATAACAGAGGCAAACCAGAGAATATTGAGAAGCAAAGCAGCTAGTAAGCTTGATCTTTATTGATCTGTTGCAACAGGGTCCTCACTGACCACACGCAGGAGGGAGGAGGAACTCAGAAAATTCGTGTGCAAGCTCTTATATAGACTTTTGAAATTGCCTACCCTGTAGCTCAAGACCACCCCTCAAAACATCATACATACATCACAGAAGAGGCGGTCTACAGCAGAATCCTGTCTGGCAGGAAACCTGTTAATGGGTTTACCTGGGCAGCCTGGCCATTCTTTTGTGATGATAAATACTTAATTCCTGAGTCCAGGTCACAGGCTCATCCTAAAGGTAAAGGGACCCCTGACCATTAGGCCCAGTCATGAATGACTCTGGGGTTGCAGTGCTCATCTTACTTTACTGGCCGAGGGAGCCGGCATACAGCTTCCGGGTCATGTGGCCAGCATGACTAAGCCGCTTCTGGCGAACCAGAGCAGCGCATGGAAATGCCATTTACCTTCCCGTCGGAATGGTACCTACTGATCTACTTGCACTTTGACGTGCTTTCGAACTGCTAGGTTGGCAGGAGCAGGGACCGAGCAACGGGAGCTCATCCCGTCGTGGGGATTCAAACTGCTGACCTTCTGATTGGCAAGCCCAAGAGGCTCAGTGGTTTAGACCACAGCACCACCCGCTTACCACAGGCTCACCCTATTCATACCCAAATGTGCCCTTAAGGCAGGATTTGTGAGCTCAGAGACAATGGGGAAGCTTTTCCCATTTCCATCCAAAGTGCAGCGGAATATTTGAGGTCACTGAAAGAGTCAAAATGGCTTTAGGACTGTTTTCCTGTACTGTTTTCAGACATGTGGTTTCTATATTTATGTATATGTATGCCTGGTACATTTATGAACATTTATTTTAAATCGTAGACCTTACAATTCTCATAACACGCCTGCCTGAAATCTTTGCGCGATTGATGCAAATCAGGACAGCAGGTTCGGCGATATCAATCGCGCTCCCCATTAGTCGCAGGTGAGGTTTTTGCACTATCAGCTCTGATTTGGTTGCTCTTGTTTGCCTCAGGATGCGAGTTCCGATAGCGCCCAAGAGCTGAATTTCACAATCCAAGAAACTGAGTGCCTGGCAGAGGAGGAACGCCCCGTGAAGGAATGCAGCTTCAGAGACGGAGGGGTAAGGCCGGGCGAAGTGGGGGTGAGGAATCTGTTTCAGCCCACGGTTTGCATCTGCACATGGGCTGCTTTCTCGAGGTCACGTCCAGCAGGGTGTTCTCACAGCGGCTATTATGGGATGCCCATAAGCACAACCTGAACATCGCAGCACCCTACCTTTCCGAAATTCCCAGCAACTGGTATTTTGAGGTATAATCCCACAGGGTTTTCTCAAGCATCAAGACAGAGATGCAGAGGCGTGGACTGATCAGAAATCATATCAAAATGGCTTAAACCCAGTCAACACAATGCTTTCATAGAATCATAGAATCATAGAGTTGGAAGAGACCACAAGGGCCATCGAGTCCAACCCCCTGCCAAGCAGGAAAGACCATCAGAGCACTCCTGACATATGGTTGCCAAGCCTCTGCTTAAAGACCTCCAAAGAAGGAGACTCCACCACACTCCTTGGCAGCAAATTCCACTGTCAAACAGCTCTTACTGTCAGGAAGTTCTTCCTAATGTTTAGGTGGAATCTTCTTTCTTGTAGTTTGGATCCATTGCTCCGTGTCCGCTTCTCTGGAGCAGCAGAAAACAACCTTTCTCCCTCCTCTATGTGACATCCTTTTATATATTTGAACATGGCTATCATATCACCCCTTAACCTCCTCTTCTCCAGGCTAAACATGCCCAGCTCCCTTAGCCGTTCCTCATAAGGCATCGTTTCCAGGCCTTTGACCATTTTGGTTGCCCTCCTCTGGACACGTTCCAGTTTGTCAGTGTCCTCCTTGAACTGTGGTGCCCAGAACTGGACACAGTACTCCAGGTGAGGTCTGACCAGAGCAGAATACAGTGGCACTATTACTTCCCTTGATCTAGATGCTATACTCCTATTGATGCAGCCCAGAATTGCATTGGCTTTTTTAGCTGCCGCGTCACACTGTTGGCTCATGTCAAGTTTGTGGTCAACCAAGACTCCTAGATCCTTTTCACATGTGTCATAGCTGGCACAAATGGCTTGTTCCTTATTTTTTTATAATTCCTCATAGCAATCCCACCTGATCACTACAGCTCTGAACCTCCCAACACGCAGCTGCATTTGATGGCCTCTCTCTGTAAAGACTGAAATGAAAAAGGACATTAAGAAACTTTTCCTTGTCTTTATACTGTACTTTCCTGGGCAACCAGCTGGGAGCTGCTGACAGCATCCTGACACCAGCGTAGTCATCATTAGTCTTGTGCCAATGTGTGGACGTACCCAGACTTGCACTGCGCACATGTGCCACACTCACAGATGCCACAACAAATGTACACATTCAGCCCATGGACTTACCATGCTTGCCGTCATGTCAGTACGAAGTCACATCTGAAGGGAGGGCCTTCTCAGTAGTGGCGCCCGCCCTGTGGAATGCCCCCCTTTCAGATGTGAAGGAAATAAGTAGCTATCTTATCTTTAAAAGACATCTGAAGGCAGCCCTGTTTAGGGAAGTTTTTAATATTTAATGCTGTATTGTTTTTAACACTTGATTGGGAGCTGCCCAGAGTGGCTGGGGAAACTCAGCCAGATGGGCGGGGTATAAATAATAAATTATTATTATTATTAAATTATTATTACACACTCCTATACTTCCTGCTCTCTCTCTCTCTCTCTCTCACACACACACACACACAGAGCACACTGGTAGGTCCCTGGGCGCCCCTGGGCACCACGTTGGTGAACCCTGTGCCAGGGTTCAAACCAGGGGCTAACTGCATGCAAAGCTCAACCCCCAAAGAGGGAGGCTTCTCCTAGCACCAACCTTGGTTTTACCCCCCATTTCCTCCCTTTGCAGGTGGTCAAGGAATGCTCCGGTTTTTACTTCCTGGCTGAGAATCCACCTGTGGCCATTGTCACCTGTGAAGCCGTAGAGGACGAGGTAAGACAGTATTTCGGGGCACCTTCTGAGGTGGAAGGGGTTGACGTCGTCATGTCCTTTTAACCAATTTGTCATGTGTGAAAGGAATTCCCCATGGATCTCACCAAATTCCCAAACGGTCAGACACGGGATTCGAACGCACAACCCTGAGATTAAGAGTCTCGTGCTCTATCAGTTGAGCTACCCCAGCTCAGCTTCATCGTTGCTGAGTTCATCAGATAGACTGAAAGGGAACAAAGGCTGCATTACCTAGTTCCTTGCAAGGTGAGGGGAAATGGACATAGCTAAGCCGTGCAGGCCAGCTTACTCTATGGTCTTAACCCCTTCATGTGTTAATTAGACTTAAGCAAGTTGGTTATATGAGGCTAGTTATCCCACAGCATTTCAGCCAGTAGGACTGAGACTTGGCAGCAAACCAACAGCCAAGAGAAGGAGGAGTGAGAGAGAGGTAGAACCAGGCAAGCTGGCGCCCATTTTGGTGGTCCACAGTCCACCCGCTGAGGGACGAGATCCTAACAGGAGGCTCTTTTTCTTCTCTCCTCTGCAGCCTGAGCCCAAACGGGTGAAGCGGTCCTGGCTGAAGAAGAAGTTTAAGAAGATCAAGAAGGGTGTCAAGAAGGGTTTCCGCAAAATCTTCAAGGGCAAGGGAATCATGGTGGGAGGGACCGTCCGCTATTGAGATGGAGAAATCCCGAGGAACGTGTAAAAAGCTCCTCTCTTGTCGCTTTCGCACACACTTTATCCCATTCCGACCTGTTCACCCTTCCTCAGATTTTCCTTTTGCCCACCACCCTGTTGCCTTGGTAACGCTTGCCAGCCATCACCAACCTGGTGCCCACCTGAACTTCCACCAGCCCCAGCCATGCCGGAGGAGACACGCAGCGGCGATGGCTGGTCCGTTCGGGAAAATGAGGCACTGCCCATCCAACCCGATTCTGTCCTCCGATGGCCTCCACCTTTCCGCCTTCCTAGTTCCACCCAGTCCAAGGGGTCTCCCTGCCTGCCATCCTCTTCCTCGGTGTTGCCTTTGCAGAACTCACCGGAAGGATGGAGTTGTGATAGGAATTTTGAGGTCTTAGATATATGGTAATGTTCATAACCGCACATACATAGATCAGCACAGGAAGACCGACCCGAAGCCATTTTTATTCCTAAACTGACCAAATGTTTTCTCTGCATGGTCAAAGTGGAAAAGCCTCCCCATTGTCTTTTCCTTCACAAATCCTGTCTTAAGGGTATGTCTGTGTTGGAATAGGGTGTGAGCCTGTGACCTGGCCCAGGAGCTAAGTATTTATCATTACAAAAGACTGGCCAGGCTACCCAGGAAATCCAATCAAGTAACCTGCCAGACAGGAGATAAACAACAACAGGAGAAAAACAATATTCAAATTTCTGTTTTAGACCGCCTTTTCTGTGATGTAGGTGTGATGTATATGAGGGGTGGTCTTAGGTTACACCCCTTCTGTGATGTATGTATGATGTTTCTGGGGGTGGTCCTGATCTACAGGGTGGCGATTTCAAAAGTCTTTATAAGGCCTTGCACACCATTTTTCTGGGTTCCTCCTCCTCTCCTGCGTGCGAGGGGAGCACCCTGTTGCAACAGATCAATAAAGATCAGGCTTACTAGCTGCTTTGCTTCTCAGTATTCTCTGGTTGGCCTCTGTTATTCTCTCCTACCAATAGGGAACCCATGTAAGGACTCTATATGGGCTCTTGGATACCCCATAAGGGAAAAGGGCAATTTTTGTTTACAACAGAGTCAAAACTAGAATTGGCTGCTCCAACCATCCTTCGCTCTAGCTCCACCAGTCGTTTAGGAACACAGAAAGCTGACCTGTTTGGATTGCACCCACTGGTCCATCTGGTTCAGTGTTGCGTACACGGACTGGCAGCAGCGCTCCAGAATCTCAGCCAGGGAGTGCCACTGGGAATCAAATCTGGGACCTTCAGCTGGGCTACAGCCCTTTCCCTCAACCATTTAACCGGGTTCCTCTCCTGTTGTTCACCTCACTTTCCACCCATCAGGGTCAGTGCGCACCAGTTCAGACATGCTAGCAGAGGCTGATGGGAGTTTTGATAGCTCAAAACAGGTGGTTGGTGTAGACTGATCGAACCTCTTCCTTCCTCTTCTCAAAAAAACCACTTTATTTTGCATGCAAAAAATAAAATAAAAACGCTTTGAGTAATACTTGCAATGTACGAAAAACGATGGTGAAAAAGGAGTATTTTTTTAAACAATTCTAAACGATGATGTTGATGCTTAATGTCTGAATTTAAATTTGCAATGTAAAACTCAATAAAAAAAATATTTGACATAAAAAAACCTCTTATTTTGGTTTCCCGCTCTGATTTTTGTCTTCTCCCCATTTACCACACCAATCTTTTTTTTTTCTTGAGTGGATATTTTTCATGGCCTTGTGGGGAAACTGCTCTTTCCCCCCTTCTTATTCTTTTCACTTCTTGCCTGCTTAGATTTATAATCCCTGCAACCAGAGCCCTGCTGGCTTCAGCGCAACTGGACATTGCCTGGCACACCTGTACAAATTAAATTCAAAGATGCTGCTGCAGACGAAGACTTGGTGATGCTTTTAATCCTGTTCACGGCTAAATCTTGACGTGCAGTTCCTCCAGGGCGGCTGAGAAAAAACTGTCATTTCCCTAAAACCTGGAGCAACCGACAGGGTGCCGTCCAGATGTTGTTGGACTACAAGTCCCATAATTCCTAGCCACGGGACATCATCGTCTAGAAGGCACTGCGCTGGGCTGCCTCTGTTTGGGTCAGGAGGGGTCGCAGTGGGTGTGTTGCTGTTATCATTATTTGGAAGCAAGAAGATGAATAAAAATTGATTTTCTTGGTTGGACTAGATGAGCCTATGATTCTATGATTCCATGACTACACCTCCCACAAGCCCCAGCCAGCCCCAGCTAGCCAGATAGGTAAAAGGTAAAGGGACCCCTGACTGTTAGGTCCAGTTGCGGACGACTCTGGAGTTGCGGCACTCATCTCGCTCTATAGGCCGAGGGAGCCGGCGTTTGTCCGCAGACAGCTTCCGGGTCATGTGGCCAGCATGACTAAGCCGCTTCTGGCAAAACCAGAGTAGCACACGGTAACGCCGTTTACCTTCCCGCCGGAGCGGTACCTATTTATCTACTTGCACTTTGACATGCTTTCGAACTGCTAGGTGGGCAGGAGTTGGGACTGAGCAACGGGAGCTCACCCCATCGCGGGGATTCGAACCGCCGACCTTCTGATCAGCAAATCCTAGGCTCTGTAGTCAAAACCTTGGATTTTGAGCAGAATGCGTTCCGGAAGTCCATTCGACTTCTGAAACGTTCAGAAACCAAGGCACAGCTTCTGATCAGCTGCAGGAGCGTCCTGCAGCCAATCGGAAGCCAAACCGGACATTTGGCTTCCGAGGGAAAGTTCGCAAACTGGGACACCGGCTTCCAGGTTTGCGGCGTTCGAGGTCCAAGTTGTTTGTGAACTAAGCTGTTCGAAATCTAAGGTACGACTGTACAGACACTACACGTGTACAGGGCTCTGAGAATGTGGGAGAGAAAACATTATCGAGTTTATAAAATCAACACATTGTAGAGTTGGAAGAGACCACGAAGGTCCTCTTGTAATTTAAACCCCTATAATGCAGGAATCGCAGCCAAAAAATTCCTGACATCCAACATCTGCTTAAAAACCTCCAAAGAAGGAGATTCCTCCACCTTGTTTGTTTAATGAATTTATAAACCGGCCACTATTTGGAACTATCATGGTGGTGCACAGCAAACGGTTTTTCTAAAACAACAAAATACAAAGTTTAAACAATAAATCATCCCCTTTCTCAGTCCTGTGAAGATAGGGCAAGGAGCGATGGGGACAGAAACTGGAGCTTTTAAGCCAGGGATTTAGAAATGTTTCCTAAGTGTTAGATCAGGTCCATCAAAGAAACTGGTCGCTCAGGAAGGTTCCTTAACCCTCATGCTGATTCAGTCAACTGGAAACCCAGTTTGCTCAACTCTTTAACAAAAGAAAAGAGAAGCCCAGCCCACAAACCAAACCCCAAACAGCCATCTCTCCTGGTGCCAGCCCGTGTGCCAACCCACTCTGAAACCAGCGGTAAAAGCCACACCTGACGGTTTAAACGATCGCTTGAAATTTCCTCCTCCCTGTTGGCTCCTGGACATTATCACTTCAACAGTATACTTGCAGATTTTTAAAAAGAAATAAAAATTTGGGTGGGAAAAGGAACTGTTCACAAGTCATGGTTTTTTTCCACTTGAAAAGTTGCCATACTTCAAGAGTGGCCAAAATTTGTTGTTGTTTAGTCATTTGGTCGTGTCCGCCTCTTGGTGACCCCCTGGACCAGAGCACGCCAGGCACTCCTGTCTTCCACTGCCTCCAGCAGTTTGGTCAAACTCATGCTGGTAGCTTTGAGAACACTGTCCAGCCATCTCGTCCTCTGTCGTCCCCTTCTCCTTGTGCCCTCCATCTTTCCCAACATCAGGGTCTTTTCCAGGGAGTCTTCTCTTCTCATGAGGTGGCCAAAGTCTTGGAGCCTCAGCTTCAGGAGCTGTCCTTCCAGTGAGCACTCAGGGCTGATTTCCTTCAGAAAGGATCGGTTTGATCTTCTTGCAGTCCATGGGACTCTCAAGAGTCTCCTCCAGCATCAGAATTCAAAAGCATCCATTCTTCGGCGATCAGCCTTCTTTATGGTCCAGCTCTCACTTCCGTACATCACTACTGGGAAAACCATAGCTTTAACTATACAGACCTTTGTTGGCAAGGTGATGTCTCTGCTTTTTAAGATGCTGAGTGGCCAAAATGGCAGCTTCTAAATGTTGCTGGAAACCAACTTCCCGGGCTGTCCTGTCCATTGGGCAAATGGAGGCAGCTGCCTCAGGCGGTGGAATCTGAGGGACATGGATGTGGTCCCTACTGTTGTCACTGCTGCCAGAGGAACTAGGAGAACTGACCACAGCGGGTCCCAGGTTCTGGCAAGTGGCAAGAGAAACTGGCAAAACTGGCAAATCTGACATACAAATTGCCAGACAAGGACAATTGTGACTTTAGCGAAGAATGGGAACTTTTTACAAATTACAGTGGTACCTTGGGTTAAGAACTTAATTCTTTCTGGAGGTCCGTTCTTAACCTGAAACGGTTCTTAACCTGAAGCACCACTTGAGCTAATGGGGCCTGCCGCCGCACGATTTCTGTTCTCACCCTGAAGCAAAGTTCTTAACCCGAGGTAATATATCTGGGTTAGCGGAGTCTGTAACCTGAAGCGTATGTCACCTGAAGCGTCTGTAACCTGAGGTACCACTGTATCTAAAAAGACAACAAAATGAATTGGACTCGTTGGCACGTTTTGAATAAACATACACAAATTTATTGAGGGTTAATATAGTAGATGGATAATAAAAGGATATATACAATTTTACAGTATGCAGAGAATAACATGAGTTGAGAAATCAGAGAGAGGAGCTGAGGGAAGTCTTGGGGGGAGGGTTTTTAGGGGAGGGGGGGAAAGGGGAAAATAATGAAGATTATTTGTTTTGATAATTGTTATGTTGAAATTGTTAATAAAAAACTTTTTTTAAAAAAGATGCTGCCCCACTTGCTGACCCCCAGTTCAGCGCCAGTCTGAGATCAAATAGTGCTCTGCGTGAGGGAAGCTTGCAGCGTTTGGGTCTTCTATGTTTAGAGAAAAGGCAGAGAAAAGGCGACCCGTTGGTGGTTATAATATGATGTGCGGCATCAAGAAAGCAGGTAGAGAAAAGCCATTCTCCCTCTCATAATGCTAGAAACCATGGAATCCAATGAATGTTGGAAGATTCAGGGCAGAGAAAAGAAAGGGCTTATTCATTCAGCGCATAGTTAAACTACGGAACTCCCTGCCACTTGAGGCAGGAATGGCCACTGAGCGGATGGCTTTAAAAGATGACTAGGTAAATTCATGGAGGAGAAGAGGGCAATTGATGGCTGCTTGCCTAGATGGCTGGGCTGGGCCTCCACGGTCTGAGGTAAAAATGCTTCTGAATATCACAGACATCTGGTTGTCCACTATGAGAACAGTATGCTGGACTAGGTGGGACGTGGGTGGCGCTGTGGTCTAAACCACTGAGCCTCTTGGGCTTGCTGATCGGAAGGTCGGCAGTTCGAATCCCAGCGATGGGGTGAGCTCCCGTTGCTCTGTGCCAGCTCCTTCCAACCTAGCAGTTTGAAAGCACATCAAAGTGCAAGTAGATCAATAGGTACCGCTCCAGCAGGATGGTAAATGGCATTTCCATGCGCTGCTCTGGTTCGCCAGAAGCGGCTTAGTCATGCTGGCCACATGACCCGGAAGCTGTACGCCGGCTCCCTCGGCCAGTAAAGCGAGATGAGCACTGCAACCCCAAAGTCGTTCACGACTGGGCCTAATGGTCAGGGGTCCCTTTGCCTTTACCTTTAGGGTGAGCTGGTGACCTGGACTCAGGAATTAAGTATTTTAAGTTTGAAAGCACACCAGTGCAAGTAGATAAATAGGTACCACTGCGACGGGAAGGCAAATGCCGTTTCCATGCGCTCTGGCTTCCATTAGTGTCCTGTTGCACCAGAAGCGGTTTAGTCATGCTGGCCACATGACCCAGAAAGCTGTCTGTGGACAAACGCCCGCTCCCTCGGCCTGAAAAGTGAGATGAGCGCCTTTGACTGGACATCCATGGGTCCTTTACCTTTACCTTTTTTTTACTAGGTGGTCCCTGGCCTGATCCAGCAGCCTGTCATTACGTTCTTGAAAACCGAGTGCTTATGTATTCAATTATGGCTGCAAGAATACTGATAGCCAGAAGTTGGAAATGTGGAGCAACACCTACAATAATAGATTGTCAATCATTCAGAGTACTTTCAATTAGCAAAGCTGACCGGAAAAGTCAGAGGAGCCCCAAATCAAAAAATATTCAGAGAATGGAGACTATTCAAAGAATATATAAGATTATATTGTAATAATAGCGTTATCCTAGCAGAACTGAATGATACTTGTATATGATAAACAAATGGAATAAATATACTAGATGAATAAAACAATGTTATAAAACAAACTGTGCGATAAAATTAAGACAAAGACAAAGAAAAAGTACCATGAAGTTTCTTTCAGAAGACTTTATTAGAAAAGACAGGAGGTTATAACTGATATTCATTTCTTATTGTTAGCTCTTTTTTGCTTTTTATTTTTATTTTCTTGATCTTTTTTCTATTATATTGTTGCATTTAATTTTGATGTAACTATCCGTAATATGGAAGTGAGAGCTGGACCATAAAGAAGGCTGATCGCCGAAGAATGGATGCTTTTGAATTCTGGTGCTGGAGGAGACTCTGGAGAGTCCCATGGACTGCAAGAAGATCAAACCTCTCCATTCTGAAGGAAATCAGCCCTGAGTGCTCACTGGAAGGACAGATCCTGAAGCTGAGGCTCCAATACTTTGGCCAGCTCATGAGAAGAGAAGACTCCCTGGAAAAGACCCTGATGTTGGGAAAGATGGAGGGCACAAGGAGAAGGGGACGACAGAGGACAAGATGGTTGGACAGTGTTCTCGAAGCTACCAGCATGAGTTTGACCAAACTGCGGGAGGCAGTGGAAGGCAGGAGTGCCTGGCATGCTCTGGTCCAGGGGGTCACGAAGAGGCGGACACGACTAAACAACAACAACAATCTGTAATATATATGTAAGATGATCTTTTAAATCAATGAAGGTGAATTAAAAAATAAATAAATGAAAACCGAATGTTGGAAATGCGGCAAGGGCTCAGAAGACTGGAGTACGAACACAGCCTTTGAGAATCAGGAATATCAACAGGCTCCCCCCATTCCTGTCTATGGCATCTTTATTGTGGCAAGATGTGGCAACAGGATTCGATCTCCTATCCGAGAGAAGGCAGAGACTCCCCTGTGGCCTCAACCTTTCCCAAGACAACGACCTCCTTCCTGGCCTTCCCCCTCCCTTCCATGATGTTTTGCAAGGAGGCTTTTCAGCAATCGCTCTCCCGACGCACCTTTCAGTTGGACCCACATAAACTGGCACTTCCTCCTGGGGGGCGGGCAAGAGAAACCACACTTGCACCCTCAGCCGAAGGACGTTAGCCCACAGGGGAGGGGGGTTAGAGGGCCATGGGGTGCCGTGGGCTATAAAAAAGGGAGCTCACCCACTGAAGCCCAAGGAAGGTACCAAACCGAGGATATCTTGAAGAGAGAGAACACGGATGGAGAAGAAGATGGAGAGATGCAAGCTGTTTCTGCTGCTCATCGCGGTGGTCGCGGCAGCCCCCACAACCCGCACCCCCGTCAGCTACGAGCAGGTGGTTGCAGCGGCCGTGGACACCTACAACCAGGAGCAAAACCCAGAATTTGCCTACCGACTGCTGGAAGCAGAGCCGCAGCCTGATTGGGTAGGTAGTTCTTCGGCTCCCCTCCATTATCTATTCTATCAGGCAGCAACGATTCCTTCTACAGTGATACCTCGGGTTACAGACGCTTCAGGTTACAGACGCTTCAGGTTACAGACTCCACTGACCCAGAAATAGTGCTTCAGGTTAAGAACTTTGCTTCAGGATGAGAAACGAAATCGTGCTCCGGCGGCGCGGCAGCAGAATGAGGCCCCATTAGCTAAAGTGGTGCTTCAGGTTAAGAACAGTTTCAGGTTAAGTACGGACCTCCGGAATGAATTTGTAGCAAAGATCTTGCACCTGAGTTTGCTTCTTTCCTCCTCCCTCCCAATCCATTCCCCCTTTTGTGTCGTGTCTTTTTCAATATTGTAAAAACTGAAGACCGGGACTGTCTTTTCCAGTATCTGTCAACTGCTCTTGGAGCCTGGCTGAAGAGGGAAATTAAAAACTCTTTAAATGTATTTTTCCTCCTATCCGTTTTGCTCAATGTCTCCACAGGATGCTTCTGGTGAAACTACCCAGCCTATAAAATTCTCTATCAAGGAGACGGTTTGCCCCACATCAGAGAAGAAAAATGTCTCCCAGTGCGAATACAAAGAGGATGGGGTAAGTCTGGGTGCCCCACCACGCAAGATATTGCCAACTTTTCACTGCCTTTAACGGCAGCTGGGTCTGCAAATAAATTAGCAAGGTGGCAGAGTTCCTCCACATAAGCTTTCTTTTCCCAAGCCCTGCGCCCCCCACCCCATTTAAGCCTTGGAATCCAGGTGACATTATTAGTCAGTGTGGCATAATATTAATAATATTAATAATAATAATTTATACCCCGCCCATCTGGCTGAGCCTCCCTAGCCACTCTGGGCGGCTTCCAACCAAATATTAAAATACAGTAATGCATTAAACATTAAAAGCTTCCCTAAACATAGTCTTCTTCTTTGGCGATCCCTCGTAGCCGAGTAAGATTGTCTTCCATAAACACGGTTTTAACAATGAGTCCGTAAGTGACTGTGGAGGCCAATTCTGGATCCACACGTCCTTCCACAGTCGGGACATAGGTTTCTGGGCAGGAGTTGATCACGTTGTGGATTTGCCAAGCGTGCCTTCCTCTTAGCATGTTTCTCCCTTGCGTCCTGAGTTCGAGTATCTTCAAAGCTAATTATTATTATTTATTATTTATTATTTATTTATACTCCGCCCATCTGGCTGGGTTTCCCCAGACGCTCTGGGTGGCTTCCAGCAAAATATTAAAATACAATAATTCATCAAATATGAAAAGCTTCCCTAAACAGGCCTGCCTTCAGATGTCTTCTAAAAGTCAGATAGTTGTTTATTTCCTTGACATCTGACAGGAGGGCATTCCACAGGGTGGGCGCCACCACCAAGAAGGTCCTCTGCCTGGTTCCCTGTAACCTCACTTCTCGCAGGGAGGGAACCGCCAGAAGGCCCTCTGGACCTCTGTGTCCGGGCAGAACGATGGGGGTGGAGACGCTCCTTCAGGTCTACTGGGCCGAGGCCGTTTAGGGCTTTAAAGGTCAGCACCAACACTTTGAATTGTGCTCAGAAACGTACTGGGAGCCAATGTAGGTCTTTCAAGACCGGTGTTATATGGTCTCGGCGGCCGCTCCCAGTCACCAGTCTGGCTGCCGCATTCTGGATTAGTTGTAGTTTCCGGGTCACCTTCAAAGGTAGCCCCACGTAGAGTACATTCCCATGACACCTTTGGGAAAGGCTGTTCTCCAACTGGAGCGCTCGCAGGCCAGTGTTTCCCAGTTGTCAGTGTTTATACTACATTTTTTTAGATTTGCCTTGAGACAGTCTTTAAACCTCTTTTGCTGACCACCAGCATTACGCTTTCCATTTTTAAGTTTGGAATAGAGTAGTTGCTTTGGAAGACAAATCTCAATAGTGTGGCATAGTGGTTAGAGCATGAGACTAGGATCTGGGAGACCCGCCTTCAAATCCCCCTCTCTGTCATGAAGCTTATTTGGTGACCTTGGGCCAGTCTCTCACACTCAGCCTATCCTACCTCACAGGGTCGTTGTGGGAATTAAAGGAGAGGGAGAACCACCTGCGCAACTTTGAGCTCCTGGGTTAAAAAGATGGGATATAAACAAACAAAATGATTTAATTTCTGCCCATGTGTAAAACTTTTTTTGGGTGGCACGGAGCCACGGCGAGACTCCTTACAGGGTCCTCGCCGTGGGATCACATTCACCCGGTGCTATACCAGCTGCACCGGCTCCCGGTGGAGTACAGGGTCAGGCTCAAGGTGCTGGTTTTAACCTTTCAAGCCCTATACAGCCTAGGACCCTCGTACCTACAGGACCGCTTCTCCTGGTATGTCCCACGGAGGACCTTACGGTCTTCAAATAAAAACATCTTGGAGGTCCCGGGCCACAGGGAGGTTAGGCTGGCCTCAACCAGAGCCAGGGCCTTTTCGGCCGTGGCCCCGATCTGGTGGAACGCTCTGTCCCAAGAGACTAGGGCCCTGCGGGACTTGACATCTTTCCGCAAGACAGAGCTGTTCCACCAAGCCTTTGGCCAAGGCACAGTCTGACCCTCTCTCTCCTTCTGCAATCCTCACAGAACTCTAGCCCAATGGTTGCCATTAATTTGGTTCTGAATTGATTTTAGAATGAATTGACTTTAGAACGTATTTCAATTAATTGATTGTGATTTTATGTGTTACTTTTACTGTTGTTAGCCACTCTGAGCTCAGCTTTGGCTGGGGAGGGTGGGATATAAATAAAATATTATTATTATTATTATTATTATTATTATTATTATTATTATCCAGTCCAGCCCCCTGCAATGCAGGAATTTTTCACCCCATGTGGGAATCGAACCCGAAACCTTGAGATCACGGGTCTCATACCCCAACCGACCGAGCTGTTCTGTAGGTTTTAAAGTATTGCTGCAATTTTTTATTCTATTGTTTTTTCTTTTGGTAAACCTCTGAGGTTTACCCCCTTTTGTTTAGCACTCAAGCGGTGTATACATTTTATAAAATAAATAAACCGAATCAATCAATGAATGCCTAGAGTGGATGTGGCCCACATCTCTTCTTCTGTGGGCCTTTGACGTAGGACTTTTCTATAGCGCTGATGACTTACTCCTTTCCTCTTTCCTCAAACAGCTGGACAAAGACTGCTCTGGCTTCTATTCGACCCAGCAAAGTCCGCCTTTAATTATCGTGCAATGTGAGGACGTGGATCAAGAGGTAAGAGAGACCGGGCGCTGGCAAAATTTGGGACGGGGTGGGGGTGGGGGTACAATGTGCGGAGACCCCGTCTGAAGCCCTGGAGAGCAGCTGCCAGTCAGAGCCAATAACTGCTAATGTCCTGACTCAGTAGGCAGCTTCCGATCTGCACAGTGTTCCCGGTATTTTTCATCCCCAGATTCTGGGATGAAAAATGCTTTTGAGCATGTGCAGAGTGTGATAGGAAGTAGATGGTCGGGTTTTCTATTTTTTGGAAATAAAATTTGTAAATGGAATTGTTTTATATGTAATAATAATAATAATAATAATAATAATAATAATTATAATAATTTAAAAGGTTAGGTTGCTTTATCATATATGTACAAAGTAGGAAAATAGCAATAATCACCCACATTTCTCTCTCTCTCTCTTTCTCTGTTTCTCGGGCTCAATGTTACTGTACTCACACGACTGTGACTAAATTTAAGAAGTGCTTTAAGACGAATGCTAGCGGCTTTTAAAACTTGGTTTTAAAAGGATGGGCTCAGGTGAATTTTCTTCCCATGCCCAAAAATGTCTCCCGTTCTGAAATGTGAAAAGCAAATTGCAATTCTGCGTGTAGCTCTCAGTAGAGAAGCAATGACTGGATAATGCAGACAGGGGAAACTTTGGGGCGGCTGAACTATAACTCCCATCAACCCTGGCCACTGACCCTACATGCTGAGGCTGGTGGGAGTTGTAGTTCCACAACAAATGGAAGGCCAAAGGTTCATCGCCCCTGGGGTAGTACTCAGAGTTTGAAAGCATCCTAAGAGCTCAGTACAGTGGTACCTTGGTACTCAAACACCTTGGTTCCCAAACACCAAAAACCTGAAAGTAAGTGTTCCGGTTTTCGAACGTTTTTCGGAAGCCGAACGTCCGACACGGCTGTCGGCTATTGTTTCCAGGGTGCCTGCAGCAATCGGAAGCTGCATCTTGGTTTTCAAAATTTTTGGAAGTCTTGTTGTTGTTTAGTCGTTTAGTCATGTCTGACTCTTCGTGACGCACGCCAGGCACTCCTGTCTTCCACTGCCTCCCGCAGTTGGGTCAAACTCATGCTGGTAGCTTCGAGAACAGTGTCCAACCATCTTGTCCTCTGTTGTCCCCTTCTCTTTGTGCCCTCCATCTTTCACAACATCAGGGTCTTTTCCGGGGAGTCTTCTTTTCTCATGACGTGGCCAAGGTATTGGAGTCTCAGCTTCACGATCTGTCCTTCCAGTGAGCACTCAGGGCTGATTTCCTTCAGAATGGAGAGGTTTGATCTTCTTGCAGTCCATGGGACTCTCAAGAGTCTCCTCCAGCACCAGAATTCAAAATCATCCATTCTTCGGCGATCAGCCTTCTTTATGATCCAGCTCTCACTTCCATACATCACTACTGGGAAAACCATAGCTTGAACTATACAGATCTTTGTCGGCAAGGTGATGCCTCTGCTTTTTAAGATGCTGTCTAGGTTTGCCATCGCCTTTCTCCCAAGAAGCAGGTGTCTTTTAATTTCGTGACTGCTGTCATCATCTGCAGTGATCATGGAGCCCAAGAAAGTAAAATCTCTCACTGCCTCCATTTCTTCCCCTTCTGTTTGCCAGGAGGTGATGGGACAAGTGGCCATGATCTTACTATCGTTAAATAGTAAAAGTCATGTTAAATTGCTGTTTTAGGGGTGGTTTCTAAAAGTCTGGAACGGATTAATCCGTTTTGCATTACTTTCTATGGGAAAGTGCGCCTTGGTTTTGGAACGCTTTGGTTTTGGAACGGATTAAGTTTGAGGACCAAGGTGCCACTGTATCAGCTCTGTGGAGTAATAAATGAGTATTGTAAATGCACACAGTGTTTGTACTCACTACTTTATCTCTCTTATCTCTTAGCTGAGCCGTATAACAAGGGGACGCTGGAGAAGGTTCTGGAGGGGAGCCAAAAGATTTGTGAAGAGACATGGCGTGAGGATTGCCTTAGCAGCGCTTCGGTTTGGATAGAGAACTCCAGAAGAAAAGGAAGTTTAAATGATCCCCGTCCCAAGGTGCTCTCTGCACCATCCTCACATTAAAGGGAACTAGAAGTTCCGCTTTGCTTTTTACACTGTTTCTCTTTCACTTCTTCCAGCCCAGATAACTTCCACAAGGCTGCAGTATATAATGATAAAATGCCCTGCAAAAATAAAAATAAAAACCTTCTTTGCTCCAAAACCAAGTGTTTGTTAACTGTACTGTACAGACTTTGATGCGAGGCAGGTCCAAATGACACATGAGCAAACCAGATGTTGGCCTGAGAATATTTGCTTGTTTTTTTAAACAATTGTGGAGGTAAAGTAAAGGTAAAGGGACCCCTGACCATTAGGTCCAGTCGTGGCCGACTCTGGGGTTGTGGCGAGAATCTCGCTTTACTGGCCGAGGGAGCCGGCGTACAGCTTCCGGGTCATGTGGCCAGCATGACTAAGCCGCTTCTGGCAAACCAGAGCAGCACACAGAAACACCATTTACCTTCCCGCCGGAGCAGTACCTATTTATCTACTTGCACTTTGACGTGCTTTCGAACTGCTAGGTTGGCAGGAGCTGGGACCGAGCAACGGGAGCTCACGCCGTCGCAGGGATTTGAACCGCCGACCTTCTGATCGGCAAGCTCTGTGGCTTAACGCACAGCGCCACCCGTGTCCCTTAATTGTGGAGGTACAATGTGCTAAAGGGCAGATAGAGGGCGCTGTTCTTGGCCTCTGACATGACAGCAACCTAGTGCAAATATAGTACAGAGAGGTACAGTCATGATAAAACCTGAAGACCCTTTCGGCTCTCTCTCTGGAGAACTGTGCGGAGAATTGAATTTAAGTGTGCTGGTCCCGGGGGGTGGGTTACCGTGCGGCGTGGTCTGAGTCCGGTCCTAGGTCGAGAGTCTGGAGGCTGTCCGACAAGGGCGAAGAAGGGTCCAGGGCAAGGAGCCGGGCGTGGTCAGGAACTCCAGAAGAGCAGGTCAGGGTGCTGGCAGGAACAGGTTTCCAACGATGTTGCTCCCGCAACCTGGGACTGGGCTGACTGGCCTTTATCTCCTCTGAGGCCTGGGGTGGTCCCGGCCCACAGGTGACTTGCCTCCCCTGGCCTTAAGGCAAGCACTCCTCCTGCGGGAACTTAGTTCCCTCCGCCTCTCTGCCCTGAGCCTCTGCAGCTCAGGAGAGGCTGGAGGGTTACTGGACCCAGAGGCAACCTCACCTTCCCCTGACAGGGCTGGGAGAGGAGCACCTGCAGGCGATGGGTCCTCGATCACCTCCGGAGCCAGAGCGGATTCAGCTGGTGTCTGCTCCTGAGGATCCAGCACAGGTGAGGGCCCTTCAGATTCAAGCCCCTGCCCTGGCTCAGCCGGCCCTGGAGGCAGGGACTCCTGTGCAGGCTGGGATTCCTCCGGTTCAGCCTCTGAATCAGATTCCCAGGCCAATACACCAAGATTGGAAAAATGAGAAGCTGAGAGAGCTGAAACTGACAGTTCCTTCCATCCGCACAGCTCACAGCAGAGTTAGCACAATGGCAATTGCTCCAAGCACATTTAAACATGGTTAGATTTTACATCTAGCCTCATCCACCTTTAAAGAAACGTTCCCCATGAAAAGACTTAGGTTAGAATAAATCACAGACACTTAGCTTAGATCTTTACTCACAGAGTTTCTGAAAATTACAATAAACAAGACTCCATCTGCTGCCAGTAAAATAAAGGAGAAAAGTTTCCAACTGACCTAAAAAGAAAGAACTTGGTTATCTTACAAAAGAATCACGCAGTCTTTCCATTAGCAAAGATACAGGCTGTAGAAATCTCCTTTCAGAGAGATTATTCATTTGCTGAGCTGGGAGCCAAGTTGCACGGCTCCTTCTTTGAGGAAAGCTGCAGAGAGAGAGAAAGCGGGAGGGTGGGGAAGCAAAGGCTTCTGGGAGCCTGCTCTACCCATAGTGGCAACTTGACTTCAGAGCTCAGGTTAACCCTTTCATGCACACAAGTGTGAGTCAAAGGAAGCAAATCATCTGGCTTCTTTTGCACGCAATCAAAATGAGATTGTCATTTTTTTGTATTTGACGCCATCAAAGCTATCTAAGATGTATAAAAATATCTCGAACAAATGCTGGCGGTGTGTGTTCTGTGAAGGAAACCTGATTCATATGTGGTGGTCATGCCCCAATATCAAAGAGTTCTGGAATGTTATATACAATGAACTGAAAAAAAATATAAGGATAACTTTCTCCAAAAAACCTGAGGCCTTCCTACTTGGAATCGTAGGTAGAGAGTTACCAAAAAATGCAAAAGAATATTTTTTGTACGCAACTGCGGCCGCAAGAATCTTGGTTGCACAGAACTGGAAGGGGGAGAGGGTTCCTACTAAAACAGAATGGCAGAATAAATTGGTAGAATTTGCCGAGACGGCTCAAATGACAAATAGGCTGAGAGGCAATATAAATCAAAACTTTATTCAAAAATTGGATGTGATTAAGAAATATTTAATGAAATACAATAGCGGTGTGGAGTCTGTGACAGCGTTTGAATGATTTCTGTATATATGCTAGATAAAACTAAAGCAAAAGGTTTCATAAGTAGTGATAAATTTTAAGGTTACATAATTAGTATAAAGTAACGGCCATGTAGACAATTGGAAAACAGAAAAGGTAAATACAACATAAAAAGGTATGGTGTGGTGAATTGTATTGTATAGAACGGTCTTTGATTTGTGTTCTTTTTCTTTTTTCATAATACCATATACAGTGGAACCTCTGGTTAAGAACTTAATTCGTTCCGGAGGTCCGTTCTTAACCTGAAACTGTTCTTAACCTGAAGCACCACTTTAGCGAATGGGGCCTCCCGCTGCCGCCGCCGCACAATTTCTGTTCTCATCCTGAAGCAAAGTTCATAAGCCGAGGTACTATTTCTGGGTTAGCGGAGTCTGTAACCTGAAGCGTCTGTAACCCGAGGTACCACTGTATAACAATGTAATGTTGTCAAGCAAACTTAATAAAACAAATTTAAATAATAAAAATGAGATTGTCTCCCCCAAAATGGCACCCAAGAAGCATCTCACCCAATTTCACTCCTATAGAAACGGTTAATCAATCAACCAACCAACCAATCAATCAATCAATCAATCAATCAATTAATTGATCCTCACGGAAGCCGGAAACCCTTGTGAGCAGGCAAAGAGGACCACCAGAGTGGAGGGTGCCGCTTAGCGTGGAGTAAAACAGATGGAGACTTGGTGTGGGATGTTCCCAAAGCCACTGACCTCTGGGGTGAGGTCAATTTTGGTGACTCCCGGAGGGTGTCTGAGATGAAAACTTTGCAGAATAGTGGTGAGATACAGGAAGAGTTGCATCCGGGCCAATCCTTCACCCAGACAGATTCTCTTCCCTGCGGGAGGAAGAAAGGAGAAGCTGCAATCCAGGTACTTCACAAATCTAGCCAGCTTTTTTAAAAGATTAGGGATATTCACGGAGGAATATTCTCTGCTGAAAGAAAACTACAGGAAAATGATGTATAGAAGGCATATAACACCAGTTATTGTATAAAACCAGCTCAAATATACGTTGGAAATGTAAGGAAAAAGAAGGGACTTTCTACCATATGTGGTGGGATTGCAGAGAAATTAAAAAATATGGGGAAATGATATATAACGAGTTGAAGAAAATGTTTAAATTAACATTTGCAAAAAAAAGCCAGAAACATTTTTGTTAGGGATTGTAGGGAAAGGAAGGAAGATGAAGAACATATTTATGTACGTGACAACGGCGGCAAGAGTCTTAATAGCACAAGGATGGAAGAATGAAGAAACCCCGACAAAAGAACAGTGGCAAGAGAAACTGATGGACTATACGGAACTGGCAAAATTGACGTACAAAGTGCGTGACGAGGACAACTGTGACTTTAAAGAAGAATGGGAACCTTTTACAAAGTACTTAAAGAAACAACAAAACGAACTGGACTCCTTGGCAGGTTTTGAATAAACATACACAAATTTATTTGTTAATATAATAGATGGATAATTTAGGGATTTTTACATTTTTTTATAACATGCAGAGAATAATTTGTGTTAAAAAACCAGAAAGAGGAATACCTCCATGGTGGGGTATTGTAAGAAAGTAAAAATGCTTCTGGGAAATGATATATAATGAGATGAAGAAAATGCTGAAGTATACATTTGCGAAAAAAACAGAAACATTTTTACTTGGCATTGTAGGTACAGAAATTAATAGGACAGGACAAAAATCTGTTTTTATATGCAACTATAGCAGCGAGAGTATTACTAGCCCAACAATGGAAACAGGAAGAATTACCAACGAAGGAGGATTGGCAAATAAAAATGATGGCGTATGCAGAACTGGCAAAGTTGACTGGGAGAATTCGGAACCAGAAAGACCAGGACTTCCTTAAGGACTGGAAGAAATATATGACTTATTTGAAAGACAATTGCATTAATGTAACATTGCTTGTAGGTTTACAAGAAGTTTTGTAAGGGGGGCTATATAAATGATTGCAAAATGATTTAGGAAGGAAATAATCAGGAAATGAAGTTTAAAAGCATTCATTATAATAATAAAATGCAAGATTAGATAGCAAAATTGAAAATCACTAGACAGGATTGATGGAAGTCTCGGGCTAATAGCCCAAATGAAGATGATGCGATGTGATGTGAAGCTTTGTTTGGAAAACATATGCAAAAATTAATTTTTTAAAAAAGAAGATAGAGAGGTAAAATTGACTCTCCCCCCCCGGCCCTGCTGACATGTGACCCCACAAGAAGTTGTGACCCTTTGTGAAGCAAATGGTCTCCCAGCCATAGCTGTCAACTTACAGATTTGAAAATAAGGGACCAGCAGCCTCAGAAATAAGGGATCAGCAGCCAAAATAAGGGATCAACAATTACTTTGATAAAATACATATTTTGTTGCGTGCAAATGGCTTTAGATACCTATTAGGTCCATAATTTACCATATAGCATATAATCAACACAAAAAAACAGCAGCAGTTTGTTGTTGACAAAGGACAGCTGGACATAGAAAGGGCCCCATTACCTTCAGAAGCTTATTTAAGGGACATCATCAATAAGGGACAGCAGCGGGACATGGCGCTGGGATAAGGGACTGTCCCGCCAAATAAGGGACGCTTGACAGCTATGCTCCCAGCCCCGATCGAATCTGACCCACTGCTTTTTGTGGGAAAGGAAAAGGTAGAGATCCCCACCTGTGGAAAAGGGAATGTCGGCTCCGTTCTTCTTGAAATTCCCTTTTTCATCCAGGAAATGTTCTGGGGCGAACTGGAAGGGGTTGTCGTATTGCTTGGGGTCGTGCAGTGCAGAACTCAGGATGGGGAAGACGGAGGCACCCTGTTGTGGAAAGCCAAGAAGGCAAAATACATCAAGCCCTATTTTGGAAGAGCTCGTTGTGGTTCTCTTCCAGGATGCTAATATTCAGGCAGCTTCCAGGGAGCAGAGGTGGTCCAGAAAGCAACTTCTCTCTAACGAACTATTCGGAACTGGCAAAGTTAACGGCGAACATAAGAAACCAATACCATGGACAATTTATGGGTGAGTGGAAGCCTTTTTTGGGATTATTTGGAGGGGGGGAAACATAACCAAATGAAATTGTGGGCAGGATTTGAAATGTGAGCAATGGGAATAAAACGATAATATATGAAATAGGGGGAGATGCATCAGATGAAATAGGGGGTGATGATGATGATGATGATAATTTATTATTATTTATACCCTACCCATCTGGCTGAGTTTCCCCAGCCACTCTGGGTGGCTTCCAACAAAATATTAAAATACAATAGTCTATTAAACATTAAAAGCTTCCCTAAACAGGGCTGCCTTCAGATGTCTGCTAAACATCTGGTAATTGTTTTTCTCTTTGACATCTTGTGGGGGGGGAGCGTTCCACAGGGCGGGCGCCACCACCGAGAAGGCCCTCTGCCTGGTTCCCTGTAACTTGGCTTCTCGCAATGAGGGAACCGCCAGAAGGCCCTCAGCGTTGGACTTCAGTGTCTGGGCAGAATGATGGGGGTGGAGACACTCCTTCAGGTATACTGGACCAAGGCCCTTTAGGGCTTTAAGGGTCAGCACCAACACTTTGAATTATGCTCGGAAACGTATGGGAGCCAATGTAGGTCTTTCAGGACTGGTGTTATGTGGTCCTGCTCCCAGTCCCCAGTCTAGCTGCCACATTCTGGATTAAGACAGGGTTGGGAAACATTGGGGCAGGGACCAAATGTGGCCATTCAGGGGTCTCTCTCTAGCCCTTGGTACTATCTCCTGCCCTGCTCCACACCTGTCCCGAGTGCTTTTGCCCACCTGGAATGTGTCCTCAAGCTGTGACAAGATCCCCTGACTATCTGGATGGAGAGAGACAAGTGCACGGAACCCTCTTGAGTTTCGCGTGCTTGAAACGCAGCTAACTAGACAAAATTCAGGGGTGCGGGTGGCACTGCGGTCTCAACCACTGAGCCTAGGGATTGCCGATCGGAAGGTCGGTGGTTCGAATCCCCGCGACGGGGTGAGCTCCCGTTGCTCAGTCCCAGCTCCTGCCAGCTTAGCAGTTCAAAAGCACGTCAAAGTGCAAGTAGATAAATAGGTACCACACTAGCAGGAAGGTAAACAGCGTTTCCGTGCACTGCTCTGGTTTTGCCAGAAGTGGCTTAGTCATGCTGGCCGCATGACCGGGAAGAACTGTCTGCAGACAAACGCAGGCTCCCTCGGCCAGTTAAGCAAGATGAGCGCCACAACCCCAGAGTCGTTTGTGACTGGACTTAACTGTCAGGGCTCCTTTACCTTTTTTAGACAAAATTCAGAGTCATTCATTGCTCGGCCCACTTCTCTATCTGGGCCTGTCCTTCACTTGACGTGCCCGCCCCCCCAAAAAATGTCTGTCCACGAGGCAACATGGCCATTGGGTGTAAGACATTTCCCCATCCTTGTCCTAAAAGCAAAAGCTCTAATTAGGGTGGGGGGGATTGACCTTGTCTCTAGCGCATGCGCATGTCAAGACATGCTCATGAACATCAACCAGCACACAGCGCATGGCCTGCCACTTCATATGTTGAGCAGATGAGGATTGATTTGAACTGTTGATAACAAGAATAGGGCAATGGTTGTTTATCCAAGGTCAGCTGAAAACCCGGTGCAATAACACATCACAGCAATGGCGAGCCAACACATTTTGCTCCCTGAGGCAAGACAATAAATTGTGCTCCCCAACCCAAGTCAAGACCCATAGTACCTAAGGCAGGCGGAATTATTTGCCACCTGAGACAGACAATTCCACAGGCTCAGCTTCTTGATAATATCATGATCACTGCCCCTTTCCTGACACCCAAAATTAAGCAACTTGAAGCAGCTGCCTCTCTCTATACTGTACAACGGTAGGGCCGGTCCCATGTGCCCATCAGCCTCTGCCTGTTTGTTGCCTGCCACTGCTCTGAAGCTGTCAGCAGACTCTGATGCCGTTCCAGGTACCTTGGGGATGAAATAGCCTTCGATTTCGGTGTCGTGTTTCGCCACACGGGTGAACCCTAAGGGGACGAGATCCAAGAATCGCTGGGCTTCGTGGAGGACGGCTTCTGTGTAAGGCATCTCAAGGCGATCCTTCATGGCAGGCGGCCTCTCCTGTCCCATCACTTGGTCTATTTCCTTTTGGATCTTTTCTGGAAGTGGACACAAAAGGCAGAACGTCCAGGTCACATCACAGCAGATGCAAGGGGAAAAAGAAAGCCAGTTCTTGCTACCCGGTTCTGAAACCTAGCAAGGTCACCCTAGAATGTTTCCCCTCAGGAGAGTATGGCCAAACTACTCACGAAATCCAGCATCGCCTGAGCTCTGCGAGTGCAGTTTTCTCACTCATCTCCACTCATCCTGTAAATAGTTCCTGCCTGAATAAAGCCTTTGAACTACAGAAATTGTAAATGATTGTTCAGCTCTAATTCACCCAAGCTGCAAGGAGAAGTGCAAGCACAGTTAGTTCAGTGGTTAGTCAACCTTGCACGGCTGGGTGCTCAAGCAGGATCATGAGGATATATCTGAGGGTGGTGCTTGTTGTTTCTGTCCCAGCGATGAATATGTCATAAGCTGCCATGTTCAAGTTCTCTCTAGTGAATTCAGTCTTGGGGTTCTGCTGCTCCTGGAAATGGGGGAAAAACACAGACGAGATTATCCTCTATACCAGGGGCCCAACATGATGTTTCCCCAAGACTTAATCAGCATCCTACTGTTTTTTAAACAAATCGATACACCACTTTTGTAAAAAACAAAAACCCACAGCACAGTTTACAAAAAGAACAAAACAATCACATTATCAGGAAAGCCAATTAAATTAGCTATTTAAAACATTTTTTAAAAAATCAGATCAATGAGAAGCAAAACCGGATTAAAGCACATATCAACATTCTACATATCTGGGTAGGCTTATCTAAACAAAATTATTTTCAGCAGGTGCCTAATTTCAGACATAGGGACGCGGGTGGCGCTGTGGTCTAAACCACTGTGCCTGTTGGGCTTGCCGATCAGAAGGTCAGCGGTTCGAATCTCTGCGAAAGGGTGAGCTCCCGTTGCTTGGTCCCTGCTCCTGCCAACCTAGCGGTTCGAAAGCACATCAAAGTGCAAGTAGATAAATAGGTACCACTCCAGCGGGAAGGTAAGCAACGTTTCCGTGTCCTGCTCTGGTTTGCCAGAAGTGGCTTAGTCATGCTGGCCACATGACCTGGAAGCTGTACGCCGGCTCCCTTGGCCAATAAAGCGAGATGAGCGCCGCAACCCCAGAGTTGCCCGCGACTGGACCTAATGGTCGGGAGTCCCTTTATCTTTAATTTCAGACATAGGGACGCGGGTGGTGCTGTGGTCTAAACCACAGAGCCTAGGGCTTGCCAATCAGAAGGTTGGTGGTTCGAATCCCCGCAACGGGGTGAGCTCCCATTGCTTGGTCCCTGCTCCTGCCAACCTAGCAGTTTGAAAGCACGTCAAAGTGCAAGTAGATAAATAGGTACCACAATGGCGGGAAGGTAAACAGCGTTTCCGTGCACTGCTCTGGTTTTGCCAGAAGCGGCTTAGTCAAGCTGGCCACATGACCCGGAAGCTGTCTGCGGACAAACGCCGGCTCTCTTGGCCTATAGAGTGAGATGAGTGTGCAACCCCAGAGTCAGTCATGACTGGACCTAACGGTCAGGGGTCCCTTTACCTTTAGCTTTAATTTGGGACATATAAATCCACTCCTCCATATCTCACCTGCTCCATTTTGAGGAGGAAGGAATCTATGAAGTCCCGGGGAGCATTGGGATCCAGACTTCTCTCGTGATCTTTCACCTTCTGGGCTATGAATACCTGGATGTCCCCGAGGTTTTTAAAGAAAGTTTGATGAGGACCAGGCAAGTAGTCTAGGATCCTGGGAAAGATGTTGTAGAGCTGAGAAAAGGAAAGAGAGAGGGGGAAAAAAACACTCGTACAGACATAGCGGTGAATCAGCCTTGGTGAGTTTGAATCTCTCCAGCGAACTAAAATAAATCGCACCGTCAGAAACTGACATGTGACACAGCTCAGAAGCATCCCAGACCCTGAGATTCCAGGGCCCAAACGTGAGACCCAGGACCCCGTCCTGGAGACGGAGGTTAATTGGGAGAGGAGACCTGACGAGAGCAGACCCTGCAGAGTGTCTATGCTATCATTTGCAGCTGGCTCCTGAATCGAGCAAGCTTGATCTCAAGTAAAAAAAAATAATGGATGTACTGTGCTATATTAGAAGCAAAAAAAACCTTGTTTTGATGAATTGGAAGAGCCGCAAAAAGATTCCATTGAGCACGTGGGTTGATAATATGGACAGATTAGCTACATACGAACAAATTGCATGTCAACGCAAATTAAGAATTGATAAATATGAAGAAATCTGGAAGGAACATTTAAGCGATAAGGCAGATAGTGGGGGGAAGTGGGGGGAGGAGAGAGAGGTGGGGAAATATTGTTAAAAAGGAGTAGTCACAGGTGTAGCAGTGTATTCAAATCTGAAATGTCAAATTGTGTTGTTATGGTTTTTGTTGTACGTGTCTTTTGCGGTTGTTGTTTGTATTGAAAACATAGCTGTCAATTTACAGATTTGAAAATAAGGGACCAGCAGCCTCGAAAATAAGGGATCAGCAGCCAAAATAAGGGATTTTCCAAACACAGGTATGCTCAACTTCTGAGCCCCTCCGAGCCAAAGGCAGAAAGTCCGGCCAGCAGCCAAACGAAGCCTCAAGCGGTGGCTCCCACAGCGCAGCAACCCGGCAAAGGGGATGCAGCAAGGAAAACCACCGTCACCTCTCCGCTGGGAAGCGCTGAGCAAAGGCGAGTCCCCAGGCAACGCAGCCAATTTGATTGGCACAAGGCATGCAAGCTCCACCCCCCAGTCGTTCTTAGGCTCCTTATTGGTTGAGCAACGCAGCCAAGCAACACAGTTGGAGCCTCCCTCCTCCCTGGCCGGCTGGGAGGGAGGGAGAGGAGCTGCTTCCTTTGAAACCCGGGAAATTTAAGGGACATCATCAATAAGGGACAGCAGCGGGACACGGCGCTGGGATAAGGGAGTTTCCCGCCAAATAAGGGAGGTTGACAGCTGTGATTGAAAAAATGATTAAATAATTCTTTTTTTAAAAAAAGAGCTTGATTTCAAGTCCTGTTTTCCAGCAGGGTTTGCCTGCCCAGGAGGCAGATTGAGGCAGCTGCCTCTGGTGCAAGAATCCCGCACGGAAGCAAGGAGAAACAGCGGCAGCAACATCCGGGGAGAGAGACCTCACGAAAACTCACAGAGCTCGTTCAAGATCTTGCTGCTGCGGCCGCCGCCACCACTTCTCACTCCACACGCACTACTCAGCGCCACCGGAATAGCGAGGAGCAGTGGCTGCAGCTTCCGGGTTCTGGAGAGATCTTGTGGATCCCTCGCAGTTCCAGTAAGCAAGGCTTTGGCGGTGCAGAGGAACAGCAGCGGCTGGGGTGGTGCCAGCAGTTGGCTCGCTTCCTATTTGCCTCAATAATAATAATAAGAAGAAGAAATTTATACCCCACCCATCTGGCTGGGTTTCCCCAGCCGCTCTGAGCGGTTCCCAACAGAATATTAAAAACACAACAAAACATCCAACATTAAAAACTTCATCAAACAGGGCTGCATTCAGATGTCTTGCAATTTAATCTGTATTTTAAATCGGGTTTCCCCCCCCTATTATGTTTTTACTGTAATTTTACTGGTGTTAGCCGCCCTGAGCCTGGCACTGGCCGGGGAGGGCGGGGTATAAATAAAAATTATTATTATTATTATTATTATTATTATTCTCAACGTTCTTAAACTGAGGAGCGCTTTCCCTAACGGGCCTTCTGCTGCCGGTGCCCTTCCACCGTTTGGCTTCTGTTCTTAGATCAAGGTAAGTTTCCCCAGCCACTCTGGGCAGCTCCCAACAAATTAAAAACAGAATAAAGCATCAAATATTAAAAACTTTCCTAAACAGGGCTGCCTTCTGATGTCTTCTAAAAGTCAGAGAGTTGTTTATTTCCTTGACATCTGATGGGAGGGTGCTCCACAGGGCGGGTGCCACCACCGAGAAGGCCCTCTGCCTGGTTCCCTGTAACCTCACTTCTCGCAGGGAGGGAACCACCAGAAGGCCCTCGGAGCTGGACCTCAGTGTCCGGGCAGAACGATGGGGGTGGAGACGCTCCTTCCTCTGCTACCCAGCGTCCTCCTTACCTGCCCTGCAGTGGAACTCTCCAACCGGAAGCTTTCGACCAGCAAGCGGAGAATCCGGCGGTACTCCGGGTCATTGTAGTCAAACCGTTCACCGAGGAGGATGTGGCTGATCACGTTGCCCGTTGCGCAGCTGAACAGGACGGCTGGGTTGAAGGGCTGGCCTGGCAAAGGAAGTGGAGTTGGGAGGGATGGTGTCAAGAAATGCCCCAGCCGAAAAAACGCAGTGACTACATTATTACATGAGCACTGTTCCACAGAATTTGATATTTTCATTTATATACATTCATTCGAAATAAGATGGGTTTATGAAGCATTATGAAGGGACACGGGTGGCGCTGTGGGTTAAACCACAGAGCCTAGGACTTGCCGATCAGAAGGTTGGCAGTTCGAATCCCCGCAACGGGGTGAGCTCCCGTTGCTCGGTCCCTGCTCCTGCCAACCTAGCAGTTAGAAAGCACGTCAAATTGCAAGTAGATAAATAGGTACTGCTCCGGCGGGAAGGTAAACGGCGTTTCCGTGCGCTGCTCTGGTTCACCAGAAGCGGCTTAGTCCTGCTGGCCACATGACCCGGAAGCTGTACGCCGGCTCCCTCGGCCCGTAAAGCGAGATGAGCACCGCAACCCCAGAGTCGCCCGCGATTGGACCTAATGGTCAGGGGTCCCTTTATCTTTTATGAAGCATTTTATATCCACCCACCACACTGATGAAGAATTCTACCAAACAGTAGTCAATCTCCAGAATTACTGTTCAGTGTTGGACATCATTGTTGGATACACAAAGCTTCACAGCTTCTCTTCCACTGTATAAAGTTTGGTACCTGGCTTCATTTAAAGATTTTCAGAGACTTTGAGACTAAAGATTTCATTTTGAACTTTTTATGATTTGAAAGAATTCTATAAAGTTGTCTATTACGTATGTATATGGTCATCGTGTTGCCTAGACATTGTTGAAAAAATGCACACGGCAGAGGTTTCACTCTTTATTGTCAAATAAACAATTGTCAAATTCTACAGCTCTGAACACTGACACATCTGGCATCTAGGCAGCTATTCTCTCTTTTTTTAAATTAATATATTTTTATTGCTTTTAAATATTGCATCACCAATGTAAAAAGAAAACCCACCACCCATCAGTTAACAACAATATGTTGCATAAAAAGAAAAATGTTACCCAAAAATAAATGTTACATATAAAGAAAACAGTGTTCTTCCACACTTTAAGACTCTCTCAGCGTTTCCTCAATAACAGCATTATATTATAGCAATTAACTTAAGATATATTGTCTATGTTCTTTATAACATATTATATGGCCATAATTATTCAAAGCACGTTAAAGTTTTCATATGGGAACAATGTTCTTTCAAATGTAATCTAGAGTTATCCCATTCTTTATTGAAGTTTTGGCTTCTCTGGTTCCTAATGAGTGAGTTACCTGTAATTGTAACAGTGAATGGGCAGGTGATCTTTACTACAAGAAACAAGAAGAAGAAGCAAAGTTTCCCCCCCTCAACACAGTATTACTTAGTCTAGATTTTTATATATTAAAAAATGCATCCCCCGGAGATTTCAAAGGGCAACCTATTTGCATGTTGTGGGAATGTTCAGGGATGCAGGAGAGGATATATTGTCTGATTATATCCTTATCCATCATGTGTTCCACAATTTCAGCAGAGTAACATTCCCTTCTTTTAAATTTGCAGCGGCTGCATTTGCTCAGGCTCGCTAAAGCCTCTATAATAACTGTTTTGGTATTTTCCCCTGATTCCCTCATAAAGGATAAGACACAACACAGTCTTCTATAAAAGTATAAAAAGGTTTACTCACACATCATTCTGTTCACAGTTGGATCCCAGAAGGCAGACTTAGCTTAGAAAAGTAACATACACCTGGAAACTATCTCATAAAGAGACAGTCCCTTTGTCCTCCCTTGGCTGGAGGCCAAGAGAGTATATTTGTCTAAGCAGATGTTGCTTCTTCGATGCATGTAGTCAAAGAGAGAGAGATGGCTGCCCTGCCCTGTGCTTTTGTCCTTACCTGCACAGGTGAGGCCACACCCACCTCTAGTCACATGCAGAGGAAGTCTGTCCCAGCCCAGAAGGAAACAGGAAGTTTACCTGCTGGCTGGACCAACATCCCTCCCCATGTGCAAACATGTTCACTCTCGGAATGTTGTACTTGACTGCTCTTGTGTTTCACATCCTACACGTACTCACCGTTTTTGGCCCTGAGCTCCTTCATCAGGTACTCTGCCTCTTCCTGGATCCTCTCCTCAATGTTCTTCTTCCCCATCCCAAAGTTCCTCATGGTGGTGAGGGAGAAGCGGCGGAGCTGGAGCCAGCGCTCGCCATTGGACATGATGATCCCTGCAGAAGAAACATAGGACTTGGCCACATTAGTAAAGAAAAAGCGAATCAAATGCACTATAAACACACGACACCAGATGGCGCCAGAGAGCAGGGAATTTTAAAACACTGTTTCCCATAGGGATTTCTTTCTTTTGCTATAACAATCTAATTTATGACTTATTCATAGAGTTTTTGTCCTGTGTCTAGAGCCACCCTGTAGTCTATGTTAGGTTTCTGTTTGTGCCACTGTGCAGTGCTTGGAGTCACAAGACTCTGTTTACATTCCAGAGATTCCAGACTGCTGGAAGTCTCACAGGAGACGGGAGACGGATGTTGTTATTACTGGTTTCCTGTTTCTTTGTACCAGTTGCCTCTCTGCCTTCACAGAGAGAGGATGTATATTTCTTTTCTGTCTGCGTAGTTAGAAGTAAAACTCTTAGCAATGTAGCTCATATTTCTCGTCCTCTTCTGCTGCTTGGGCACTCTGCGTAATGAGGGAATGTACCTGGAGCCTCATCAAAGGCTCAGGTCGTTAATCACCGTCGGAGGACTCGAGGACTCGGTCGAACGCAAGTTCCAACAGTCTATGCCAGTGGTTCCCAATTCGCTTATTACTGAGGACCCCTTATTTTTCAAAAGTCAAGCCGCAGAACCCTTGCTGACGCCTGGGGCAGCAGAAGTTGTTGAGAATGGGCGTCAGGGACCGTGCTGAGGGGGGCCTGCACTGAGGAGGAATGGTGGGAGTCTCCCCCTCCCCCTGCTACTACCCCGGATTGTTAATTTTCCCAGGAGCAGGAGGACAGTATAGATTTGGAACAGCGGTTTGCAGAGGGGCATAGTTCAGAAGGCAGAAGCTGGGAAATACTGGATTGGGAACAGCTAGGAGAAGAGACACTGGCACTTCTGGCTCAGAAATGGAAGCAGCAGGAACTTCCAACACTGGTCAAGATGATGGAGTACGTAGAGATGGCCAAGTTGACGGGGAAGATCCAGAATCAGCGTGACAAACTGTTTCAAAAGGACTGGAACAAATTTATATTTGATAGGAAAGAAAATTGTAAATGTTTGAAAACGTTTGTGGGCTTGAATTGAAATGTTTTGTAATGTAAATAAAAGGAACTGATTTAACGATAATAAGGTGAAATATTATAATTTGACAAAGGGTAAATAAGTTTTTATAGAAATGCGAAGAATATGGAAAGTTATGTGGAAGTCAGAGAGAGGGAGGGAAGGAGGTTGATGCTCTTACAGCGTAATATATTAAGTCATAGAATTATGTAACAAAATGTGAATATGATTTAAGTGGAAAACTCAATAAAAATTATTTTAAAAAAGAGAGAGAGACACACTGGAAGAGAGAGGGTTAACAGATCCACACTCTAGAAAGCCTTACTCCACCGCCCTCACCAAAGTTGAGAAGAGCTCAGAAAGTGGCAGAACAGAAAGCACAGAGGGTACAAGGTCAGATGACGAGACGTAGAAGTGACATAGATTAATAGGGACAGCAGGGGGTGGAAACCTTAATTGGGAGCACCGCCATTTCTAGGAGATAGGTTCTTCTCTCGCTGTGATTATTTAACTGGTAAGAAGACCCTTTTCCTTTGTTCTGCTTATCTTACTGCCACAGGGGGTCGGAAGCTGATTCCCTGAGGCCTGACATTAGGAAATCGTCTCAAACTTTTGAGCTTTTTTTGAGGCGGTTGCCCCAAGTTGTTGCGTTCCGCCGATGCAATCGGGTGTGCAAGCAAGAGAGGGCAGGGACTGGAGCCCCTGATGCTACCAGCACATGAAGCACCATGCTTGGAACAGGACCCATGAGTCAGGTCAGCCTTGGTCCACCCGGTGCTTGCAAGATGTGTCGGGCTGCTCTCCCCACCAGCCCAGCTATGGTCACATCAGCCCGCGCATCACCCAGCCCAGCTTGCTGGGACTGTTGAGAGTTGCGTTGGGGGTGGGAGCCATGCTAATCTTCTCTGTCTTTAGTCGTTTCCGACTCTTCATGACCCCATGGACCAGAGCCCCCCTCATGTAAGAGATGCAATACCTAGTCCTCTGTTGGTCTTATCTGCTGACGGGAAGCTGCCTCGGTCAAGAAACTCATCTCCACGATCAACAAGGACCTTCTTCACCAAGTCATAACCAAAGAGAACCACAGCCTGGTCTGAGCCGAAATACACGGTGAAGATCGGCCCGTATTTTTTGCTCATCTGCAAAGACAAAGCAGGGAAGAGAGGGAGCAGGCATCAGGGTGCTGGTGATTGCAGAAGACTAGCAGAAATGGTGGCCATGGGTTAGATTTTTGGGTGTAATAATAATAATAATAATAATAATAATAATAATAATAATTTATTATTTGTACCCCGCCCATCTGGTTGGGTTTCCCCAGCCACCCTGGGCGGCTTCCAACAAAACACTAAAATACAATAACCTATTAAACATTAAAAGCTTCCCTAAACAGGGCTGCCTTCAGATGTCTTCTAAAAGTTTGGTAGTTATTTTTCTCTTTGACATCTGGTGGGAGGGCGTTCCACAGGGCGGGCGCCACCACCGAGAAGGCCCTCTGCCTGGTTCCCTGTAATTTCACTTCTCGCAGGGAGGGAATCGCCAGAAGGCCCTCGGTGCTGGACCTCAGTGTCTGGGCAGAATGATGGGGGTGGAGACGCTGCTTCAGGTCTACTGGGCCGAGGCCATTTAGGGCTTTCAAGGTCAGCACCAACACTTTGAATTGTGCTTGGAAACGTACTGGGAGCCAGTGTAGGTCTTTCAAGACTGGTCTTATATGGTCTCGGCAGCCACTCCCAGTCACCAGTCTAGCTGCCGCATTCTGGATTAGTTGTAGTTTCCGGGTCACCTTCAAAGGTAGCCCCACGCAGAGCCATTGCAGTAGTCCAAGCGAGAGATAACTAGAGCATGCACCATTCTGGCGAGACAGTCTGTGGGCAGGGAGGGTCTCATCCTGCGTACCAGATGGAGCTGGTAGACAGCTGCTCTGGGCACAGACTTGACCTGTGCCTCCATGGACAGCTGTGAGTCCAAAATGACTCCCAGGCTGCGCACCCTTCAGGGGCACAGTTACCCCATTCAGGACCAGGGAGTCCCCCACACCCGCCCGCCCCCTGTCCCCCAAAAACAGTACTTCTGTCTTGTCAGGATTCAACCTCAATCTGTTAGCCGCCATCCATCCTCCAACCGCCTCCAGGCACTCACACAGGACCTTCACCACCTTCACTGGTTCTGATTTGAAAGAGAGGTAGAGCTGGGTATCATCCGCATACTGATGAACACCCAGCCCAAACCCCCTGATGATCTCTCCCAGCGGCTGCATGTAGATGTTGAAAAGCATGGGGGAGAGGACGGAGCCCTGAAAATGAAACTTGACTTTTTTTTTTGATTCAGAGAAGGGATGAGGGAATGCTCTGAGAATATGGAACGACTGATTGGCCCGGCGCCATCTGTTCGCCTCACATTGGAACAGATGCTTGATAAACATCTGCTGTTGCATAAGCTCCATGCAAAAAAATCACAGAGTGTGGAAAGAGAGAAAAAGGCGGGTCAAGAACAGGGCAGATCATGAGACTTTTGGTTATGAAAACATGTTTATCCCCACAAAGAGCCTCTTTGTTTTCCAGCTTGCTCCTTCCCCCAAACCTGGTTTTCGAACTACAACTCCCACCAGCCCCGGCCATTGCAGTTGGGAGTTGTAGTCCCAAGGCACCTGGCTGAGGCAACCTGGGCTCTCTTCCATTCAAAAAACCCGCAACCATGTAGACAAGGATTAAACGTAAAGTATTGGTTGCGTTTAGAACAGATTTATGAAAGATTTAGAAAACATTGATTAGAATATTTGTGTCGGATTGTATGGGGGAAATACGGAACGACAGATACAATCTTGCTTAAAATGTATATAGGAAGTGCAGTGTAAGCGATGGAAGCCAATCAATGAAATTTTATTATTGTTTTCATATTGAGATATTTGTAGAATAAACTTGGAAGAAATTCTTCCAACTTTTCTTCTCATTATTTTTTCTTCTTTCTTCTTTTCTTCTTTTTTTCCTCTTTTGTTCCTTTTTTCATACATGTGCTTATTGGAAATATGTATGTATGTATGTATGTATGTATTTGCAATATTTTGCTTATATTTTGTAACAATTAAAGGTAAAGGTAAAGGGACCCCTGACCATTAGGTCCAGTCGTGGCTGACTCTGGGGTTGTGGCACTCATCTCGCTTTATTGCCCAAGGGAGCCGGCGTACAGCTTCCGGGTCATGTGGCCAGCATGACTAAGCCACTTCTGGCGAACCAGAGCAGCGCATGGAAATGCCGTTTACCTTCCCGCTGGAGCGGTACCTATTTATCTACTTGCACTTTGATGTGCTTTTGAACTGCTAGGTTGGCAGGAGCTGGGACCGAGCAACGGGAGCTCACCCCATCACGGGGATTTGAACCGCCAACCTTCAGATTGGCAAGTCGTAGGCTCTGTGGTTTAACCCACAGCGCCACCCGCGTCCCCCTTTGTAACAATTACTGTATGTTAAATACCGTATTTTTCGCACCATGACGCACTTTGTTTTAGAGGGGGGAGAACAAGAAAAAAAAATTCTCCCCCTCTCTGCCCAGCGCCCCTTCAGCGAAGCGGCAGGAGACGCTGCTCAGAGAGGGGGAGAACTTTCCCCCTCTTGTTTTCCCGCTCTAAAACAAGGTGCCGTTTAGGGTGCGTTCAGGCGGCTACCTTGGAAGCCTCGCGAGCGAGAGGGGTCGGTGTGGACTGACCCCTCTCGCTCTCCAGGCTTCAGGTTCCTTGACCTGCTCTTTGGGGCTGGCGGGGAAGCCCACCACCAGCCCCAAAGAGCAGTTCAGGGAGCAGCGGAAAGGCGCAGCGGAGAGGCTCCTGCCATAGCCGTGCGTCACCTCTCCAGCCGGGAGAGGGTTGCGGGGCTATGGCGTCTTCGCTCCATAGGACGCACACACATTTTCCCTTCATTTTTGAAGGGAAAAAAGTGCGTCCTATAGAGCGAAAAATACGGTAAATATTTTTTTTAAAAAAATGCAACCATTTCCTCTCGTCCTCCAAACGGCACCCCCTGGCCCAGCCTGCCTCCCCAGCTGCTGCCAGATGTCTCCTTCTGAATCCTTGCCTGCAGCTGTTTGCAGTCTTGTTCCGTCATCTGAGGAGGTTTCCAAAGTGTTATTTCGCAGTGCTCTGAGCTACGTGGCTGTAAAGCACTCAGAGAAGGCTGGGCCTGGGGGAACTGGCATGCAGGTGACTTTTTTAAAAATGCTTTTTATTAGCAATTTCAACATAACAGATTATCAAAACAGATCATATTCATTATTTTCCCCCTTCCCCCTTCCACCCCCCCCCCCGAGACTTCCCTCAGCTCCTCTCTCTGATTTCTCAGCACATATTATTCTCTGCCCGTTATAAAATTATACATGTCCTTACATTATCTATCTACCACGTTATCAACCAATAAATTTGTGTATGTTTATTCAAAACCTGCCAAGGAGTCCAATTCATTTTGTTGTCTTTTTAGATAATTTGTAAAAAGCTCCCATTCTTCTTTGAAGTCACAGTTGTCCTTATCTCACAGTTTGTATGTCAATTTCGCGAGTTCTGCGTAGCTCATCAATTTTTCTTGCCACTGTTCTTTCGTCGGGATTTCCTCATTCTTCCATCCTTGTGCTATCAAGACTCTTGCCGCTGCTGTAGCATACATAAATACCGTATTTTTTGCTCTATAAGACTCACTTTTTCCCTCCTAAAAAGTAAGGGGAAATGTGTGTGCGTCTTATGGAGCGAATGCAGGGTGCACAGCTATCCCAGAAGCCAGAACAGCAAGAGGGATTGCTGCTTTCACTGCGTAGCGATCCCTTTTGCTGTTCTGGCTTCTGAGATTCAGAATAATTTTTTCTTGTTTTCCTCCTCCAAAAACTAGGTGCGTCTTGTGGTCTGGTGCGTCTTATAGAGCGAAAAATACGGTAAGTTCTTGGTTTTTCTTGGCAGGTCTTGTCCTACAATCCCTAACAGAAATGCTTCTGGTTGTTTTTTTTTACAAATGTCATTTTAAACTTTTTTTCCAATTCATTGTATATCATTTCCCGATTTTTTAAAACTTCTCTACATTCCCACCACATATGATAAAAAGTCCCTTCTGTTTCTTTACATTTCCAACATATGTTTGACCCGGTTTTTTTACATTTTTGCTAGGCATGCAGGTGACTTAAACAGATAGCCAGGAGACAAGGCCTGCCCAAAGTCCCAGTGGGTCAGGGAGCCTGGGACACAGCTTAGCTGAAGCCCCAATCCTTACCTCTCGGAAATTTCCAACTAGGTTCTGCACCTTCAGCTGCAGGAGGTTCCCGACAAATGGAAGCGGTGTTGGCCCAGGAGGCAAGTTTTTTGCCTTAGGTCTCATCCCCCAAACCAAGAGGAAGACCAGGCAGATGACCAAGAAGATTGTTGCGCTCCCCAGCAGATCCATTGCTGCAGCAGGTAGCAGCTAGAGGCTGCTATCGCCAGACGAGGAAAAGCCGACAGTCCAGAGATTATATTCTCCAAACATCAGAATCAGAGCCAGCGTCGTGAGCCAACAGGGCGGGGAGACCAGTTTCCAAACCCTGCCAGATTGTCCAAAGGTTGTTCTATAAGCCCTTGAAACATGTTGTGCTTTTCCAAGACCTGTCTCTACTTTCTACTGAAAGTTGTTCTCTGGGGTTAACTAGGGAAGAAAGTGTCTCCACCCCAATCATTCTGCCCGGACACTGGGTTCCTGCTCCGAGAACCTTCTGGCGGTTCCCTCCCTGCGAAAAGTGAAGCTACAGGGAACCAGGCAGAGGGCCTTCTCGGTGGTGGCACCTGCCCTGTGGAACGCCCTCTCAGCAGATGTCAAGGAAATAAACAACTATCTGACTTTTAGAAGACATCTGAAGGCAGCCCTGTTTGGGGAAGTTTTTAATATTTGATGCTTTATTCTGTTTTTAATCTGTTGGGAGCTGCCCAGAGTGGCTGGGGAAACACAGCCGGATGGACAGGGTAATAATTTTATTATTTATACTCCGCCCATCTGGGCGGCATCCAACAAAATATTAAAATTCATCAAACATTAAAAGCTTCCCTAAACAGGGCTGCCTTCAGATGTCTTCTAAAAGTCATAATAATAATAATAATTACAGTGGTACCTCGGTTTAAGAACAGTCCTGTTTATGAACAATTTGGTTTACGAACTCTGCAAAACCAGAAGTAGTGTCCCGGTTTGCGAACTTCACCTCGGTCTAAGAACGGAAGCCGAACCGTGGAAGGGCACCGGCAGTGGGAGGCGTCATTAGGGAAAGCGCGCCTCAGTTTAAGAACGGTTTTGGTTTAAGAATGGACTTCAGGAATGGATTAAGTTTGTAAACCAAAGCACCACTGTATTATTATTATTCCTTAGTTACTAGTTACTAGTTAGTTACCGTATTTTTCGCTCTATAAGACGCACCAGACCACAAGACGCACCTAGTTTTTGGAGGTGGAAAACAAGAAAAAATTATTCTGAATCTCAGAAGCCAGAACAGCAAGAGCGATCGCTGTGCAGTGAAAGCAGCAATCCCTCTTGCTGTTCTGGCTTCTGGGATAGCTGCGCAGCCTGCATTCGCTCCATAAGATGCACACACATTTCCCCTTACTTTTTAGGAGGGAAAAAGTGAGTCTTATAGAGCAAAAAATACGGTATTATTATTCCTTAGCGGGCACACACGCTAAACCCTGTCTGTGGTGCCCACCCCTTTCCCCAAATGATGAGACAAGAGACCAGAGTATGGGTTCAAATTGGTCACAGCTTTATTGAGCTTCAGACGTGGGAAACTCAGCAGAGGCCTTGGCAGGCAACCCTCTCAGCCCGCCTGGCTGAGGATATGCAGGCAGATGAGGTCCAGTGAGAGGGGACCGCAAAGCGCAGACTTACACAGCCTGCCCTTCCACCGACCTCGTCCCGGGAGTTTGACCTACATGCCGCCGCTCTAGGGCCAGGGACGCCCGGTTTTTGCCCTTTAACGGGCCCTGCAAGCACCGCCACATGGGGAGGGAGCATGGATGCATCCCCCCAAACTTGATGTTATACTAAAGGATACCTTGCCAAGGCCTAAAACCGCCAAAGTTGTGACGAAATGCTATGGGGAAGGCGAAACCTGCCAATGCAGGGAAAATTCCTTCGCGGTTCTGAATACAGCAATCAACTTTAAGACCGCAGCAGCATCCGCTGACCTGGTGTTATGTACTGAGTTGAATAGGATCCAAACTGCAGCAGTCTGATTGGTCCTAGAACAATAGGATCCAAATTGCAGCAGTCTGATTGGTCCTAGAACAATGCAGCAGTATGATTGGTTGGCAGGAACCACCCAATCATGCTCCAGATATAAGTGAATCCACAACCTGATTGGCTTACAGTAGAATTCCAGAATTAGCCAATCATGTGCAGCCCATTGTGTAAATAATGTATATAAAGCAGATACTTTTAGGGGACATTCATTCCTCCTCACCACTATGAGCATGAAATCACTTTGCGACTCTGAGTATATTTCACCTGGAATGCAAAATATTAGCCTGTAAGGAAAAGAATCATTAACCTGAAGATCGCTGACCTAGTGGCAAGAAATTATTAATTAGAGGGAGGGTGGGTGGGTGGTCCTGGAAGGAAGAAAACCAAAAGAGGCCTCTTTTCTGTGGCCTTAACCCCACCCAGTGGCGTAGCGTGGGGGGTGCAGGGGGGGCCGGCCGCACCGGGCGCAACATCTGGGGGGAGGGCGCGCTCGCACTCGCAGCTCTCTGCCCCGGTGCGGAGAGAGAGCAAGGGACTATCTGGGGGAGGGACAGTGCAGCGGCCGTCCAGCGCAGCGCTGAGCGCGGGAGAGAACCACACCAGACCAGACCAGGCAGCAGCAAGAAGAAGCTGGCAGCGGCGGCAGGTTAGGGGTTAGGGGGCGCAAATTACTTGCCTTGCCCCGGGTTAGGGGGCGCATATTACTTGCCTTGCCCCGGGTGCTGACAACCCACGCTACGCCGCTGACCCCACCCCTGGCCGGCCATCCATTGTCCTCCCTGGCCGAGGGTGGGTCAAAGGCCAGCCCAAGCAGGTGGGTTCCACCCGCCCAGGTGAGCCCAGCTCAGTGCTGCAAACCCGCCCACCTGTGGGGAAGGGAGGGCGGAAACTATCTGATTTTTAGAAGATATCTGAATGCAGCCCTGTTTAGGGAAGTTTTTAATGTTGGGTGCTTTATCGTGTTTTTAATATTCTGTTGGGAACTGGCCAGAGTGGCTGGGGAAACCCAGCCAGATGGGTGGGTTATAAATAATAAATAAATCATCATCATCATCCTTGCCAGTATTCTCTCAAAGTGCAATGGCTCCCAGTTACAAGAAAGGGAATTCCATCTGAAATATACTCGGAGTCGCAAACTGATTTCATGCTCTTTATTCAGCTCATAGTGGTGAGGAGGAATGAATGCCAGTCCCCTCAAAGTATCTGCTTTATATACATTATTTACACAATGGGCTGCACATGATTGGCTAATTCTGGAATTCTACTGTAAGCCAATCAGGTTGTGGATTCACTTATATCTGGAGCATGATTGGGTGGTTCCTGCCCACCAATCATACTGCTGCATTGTTCTAGGACCAATCAGACTGCTGCATTCTGAATCCTATTGTTCTAGGACCAACCAGACTGCTGCAATTTGGATCCTATTGTTCTAGAACCAATCAGACTGCTGCAGTTTGGATCCTATTCAACTCAGTACATAACACCATCTAAACATAAGGGGGAAACTTTCTGAAAGTAAGAGCTGTTTGCTGGTGGAACGGTCTCCCATGGGAGGTTGTGAACTCTCCTTCCTTGAAGGTTGTTACGCAGAGGCTGGATGGCCATCTGTCAGGGATGCTTTCGTTTGAAATTCCTGCATTGCCGGGGGTTGGACTAGATGACCCTAGAGGTCCCTTTCAACTCTATGAATCCATGATCCCACCTTTTCTTGTTTCTGCATTGTTGAAAAATGACTCTGAACAGGAGCAATAAATGAGGCTGCATTTTGAATTGCATTTTAACCTGTATTTTAAATTGATTTTTTTCCCCTATTATGTTTTCACTGCAATTTTACTGGTGTTGGCTGCCCTGAGCCCGGCTCTGGCTGAGGAGGGTGGGGTATAAATAAATCTATTATTATTATTATTATTATTATTATTATTATTATTATTATATCTCAGTCCATAGAGCATGAGACTCTTCACCTCAGGGTTGTGGTTATAAGATGAAAAATATGAAATAGTTGCACTTGGGTTGAAATGACAAAGTCCAAGTAAATAACATTAATGTCATCCAGTTATCAGATATCGTTCCAGCTCTGCCACACTTGTGGCAGTGGCAAGGGGTGAACTTTTTTAAAAGTGCAAATAGATGTGGAAATGTGGAGAAGAGGTCACTAAGTTATTACGCATCTATTAATTTCAGTTCCTCTTATTTCTTCCAGTTTTGAGAGGAATCCAAACTGACAATTTCCCAATGACTAATGTAATAGCTTGCTTCTTTACACAATATTTTGTTTTTTAAACTATTATTATTTGGGCTCCAATTAGCATTCTACTATTTGTCTGCTATCTAGTTTGATCTTCCTTGTAAAAATAATCTAACGGTGGGCTGACGGAAGTTTAAATGTGTTCTTTTTATGGTGTTTTAAAAGATGTGACCACCGTAACAGTTTTGCCACCTCATGGGTGCAAGAATATAACTGAAGCTTGGATAATCCCCCCTAAAAATTGGGCCGGATCCAGCCCCTGGGCCTTAGTTTGCTGAACCATGGATTACCTGGATAGCCTGGCCATTCTTTTGTGATGATAAATACTTAATTCCTGAGACCAGGTCACAGGCTCACCCTATTCATACCCAAATGTGCCCTTAAGGCAGGATTTGTGAGCACAGAGACAATGGAGAAGCTTTTTCAATTTCCATCCAAACCGCAGAGGAATATTTGAGGTCACTGAAAGAGTCAAAATGGCTTTAGGACTGTTTTCCTGTACTGTTTTCAGACATGTGGTTTCTATATTTATGTATGTCTTTGCTTTGTACATTTACGAACATTTATTTTATATATATAAGACCTTAGAATTCCTATTGTTGTTGTTGTTTAGTCGTGTCCAGCTCGTCGTGACCCCCTGGACCAGAGCACGCCAGGCACTCCTGTCTTCCACTGCTTCCCGCAGTTTGGTCAAACTCATGCTGGTAGCTTCGAGAACACTATCCAACCATCTCGTCCTCTGTAGTCCCCTTCTCCTTGGGCCCTCCATGTTTCCCAACATCAGGGTCTTTTCCAGGAGTCTTCTCTTCTCATGAGGTGGCCAAAGTATTGGAGCCTCAGCTTCAGGATCTGTCCTTCCAGTGAGCACTCAGGGCTAATTTCCTTCAGAATGGAGAGGTTTGATCTTCTTGCAGTCCATGGGACTCTCAAGAGTCTCCTCCAGCACCAGAATTCAAAAGCATCCATTCTTTGGCGATCAGCCTTCTT